AAGATTTTTCTGTCAAGTAACAACTTTTCACGATAAAAGTGTCCATAAAAAAAGTTTTTTTCACAAAAAAAAATTGAAAAAATGTCTGAAATTTCAAAAAAAATTCAATTTTGGAAAACCCGGGCCCAGGCCAAGGAGTCACGGGCCCTGGCCTTTAACATAATCGATGAAAACAATGGACTGAAGGAATACTTCGAGTCGCGGTCAGCTGGCTTTTGGAGAAATGGTATCCACAAGTTACCTGAATGTTGTCAGCATGTCGTGGACCACGATGGCGCAGACGGTCCATCTCGGATAATTCATGTTTTTGTGTTATTCGTGAAAAAAAATGTACAGTAACTTTCCTTCCAACCTAATATCATTCGATACATTTCGATACAAATCTATTGTTCATTTCGATACAAATCTATTGATTTCGATACAAATCTACTGTTCCAAGGAAAAAATTTGCCGCTAAAAAAGTCTTTGCAAAATAGACAGAGAATGCCTTTTTAAAACGTCATAACTCTGAAAAATGGCCCGTTTGAGAAAACCCCTCAAAAATGAAATGGAATCACTTTTTTCCAGGCAAAATGAAGAACAAAGAATCTCCACGAAACCATCCAAAGAGTTCTTGGAAACCGAAGAACCCATATGAGAGGGTTCACCAAAAAAACAAACCGAAGATTGCCAAGGCATCCAGAAGAGACGAATTTTTTGAAAAAGAAGCAAGGTTCGAGAAATGGAGTTTTTCTGGACCTCTGACTCCAGATTTCTATGGACCTCTGAACCCCCCTCGTCAATGGCCAATCTCCGACCGCCGATTTGATATGGAAAGAGCTTTGGAAAATATCAAGGATTATATCCCTAAAGTTCTTTAGAACAGAGTCCTGAGTGATATTGAAACGGTCAAAGAAATTGGTAATATAAAAGCAAAAACAAAGAAGAGAATTCAATACAATACAAAACACGCGGGTTGTGCAATCTTCAATGACGCGGCATTCAATGATGGAAAAAAGTTTGTTGAAGCCATCAAACAAATTGAAATTCACGGCACTGTCCCCCTCGGATGCGGAGACAACAATGATTTATTGCAAAAAGCATATGCGGGGCCTCCAACGGAATCTCGGCTGCGTAAGTTTTTTTCTAGCTGGTTTTTGAGTGAATAGATAATATTCGAACATGATATAGAAAATCTTAGCGTTACATTTTTGCAGATCTATACACGGAGGATGGGGATGCGAATACAGAAAGAACCATTGATAAGTCGATTCACAACATTGAAAATCACGCTCATCGCCCAACGCTGTCCGGCAGTGACTGTCAAAGTTTCCTGGCTATCATGTGGCCGGTTTCAAAATACTCCGATTTGAGAAAAGTGAAAAAATTTGAAGTGAGTTTTGATCTAAACCTTTTCACATCGCTATAATTTTGTTTTCAGTGTCTCGACGAGAAGGAGTACAGTTTTTATATGATAGCTCAATACATCTTCCATGCCGCTGTCCCAACAAGACACTCTAAGGAGCTGTCTTTCACCATCCTTAAGTTGGTTTATCTTTTGGCGATTCGTGGCGTTTTAGGACCGTTCGACAATGCAGAGAAAAGAGCCAATATGATCGAATATGATCTTTTCAATGATCGTTCTCTGCACACAAGCTCTGACTCGAGTCTGGAGGAAAAGGCTGGGCAAGCCATTGGATGGCTTGGAAAGTTCATGACAAACTCAGGATTCTCCCCTGGACTCCGATGCTTCCGTTGGTTCTATCGATACGTTACGGATTCGACGACTGTACTCCTAAACGCAAACAAGTTTCTGGAATGGGATCAAGTCATCACGCGTCACATTCAGTTTCGAAAAGAGGAGTGGGATGAGGAGCAGGAGATTCTGTTGAAACTTCAGAACACCGATGAGCCAGTCGATTCTCAATTCCACGATTTCTATGTTCCTGAGGATGGTGATTGTCTACCTATACGACGCTACTCTCTTCCAAATTCATCTGAGCCGTCAACAAGTAATGCTAGTCAACAATCTGGATCAAATAAGCCACGAGAGATCACCTTCAACGGCATCCGCGTGGGACAACTTGTTCCAATCCCAAGGCCACAAGCGTAAGTGACTAGAGTAGTAGATACTGAAAAATAATCAAGATTTCCAGACCCCAAAAACCTTATGAGCGTCACACTTATGATGAGTTGAATGTGCGGATGGAGGAGCATAATTACTTGGTGATGGCCGGTCTAACAAAAATAAAGAGAGATTAATTGATGAGGTATGAAGCGTCTTTTGTTTGTTGGGCTACTAAGATGCATTTTTTCAGTATCTATCCGCCAAACATCGCTAATCTTCTTCCTTCCACTTCGAGCTCCATGCATCCGTATCTTCTTTTTTTCCCATCTGATCTTCTCCACCCAGATTCCGTTATTTCCCAATTGTTCATATTTTCCATCCACCCAGAACTCTCTTCACCTATCATTTTTTTCCGAATTTCGTGATGGGTATAGATTTCTTCTTTTTCCTAACTTCTTCATTATGATTATCACCTCCCGTCCTGCTTATTTCAATTTTCCAACACATTATAGTTCCCCATATGCCGAATACTTCCGAGATTCTATTATCCATATTTCATACTGAGATTATCAGTGACACGATTTACATTTTCTCTACTTACACAACTTCCAAAGATTCTGATATACCATGATTCTTGTCTTTCTGGTCCAATGATCTAACCTTTTCCAGTCAAATCATGGACTATTGAGCTCTCTTGTCTGACCTAGGAATTAAGTTGAGTTATTCAATGTTTCTTTATCATGTACTTTATATATGGATAGTTATTTAGCAATTGTAAGTTATTCTTACCTGTTTTACTCACCCAAACCATTCTTTCAACCTATCGTATTGTTCAAATTACATCACTCGAAATTCTCCGATGTAAACAATCATAGTGAGATTTTTCCCAGGTTTCTCCCACAACTCTTTTCTTAACATGTTCGAAAAAAGACTAAGCCTTTATACAATTTTTTTGATACAGAATAAATCGGGATGTTTCTTCATAAATCGATAATTAACTGCTTACAATTTCGATGGCTTCATGAACTTCGCAGTGAGTCTGGCAATAGTGTCATCATGCGAGAACATTCCGTTTAGTTGAATTTCCTCTTTTCGATTGACAGTCAGCAAGGCATCTTGGATTTCGGTGGTTCTCATCAGTTCCTTAGCGACTTTCATGGTCTGGAAAATCCTATTTTAATACGTTTTAACGAGAATTTCAAAAACTCACCACCGGGGATAAGGTAGCAAAGTGGTCAATCATTTTTTGGGCGTCCTGTTCAAACGTGGCAGCAGGGAGAACCTAAAAAGAGATAAAACATCCAGGAACAAGGATAGCAGACTACCTTGGTCACTAATCCAGCAATAAACGCTTCTTGAGCCGTGAACTTCTGGCTGAACATCATCAGAGCAGCCGCTTTCTGATATCCCATGATCCTTGGAAGAGTATAACTGGAGCATGCTTCTGGACAAACTCCAATATCGGCAAATGGTGTGGCAAATGTTGCCTAGGGATTATAAATTCGAATTTTCGATGTTTTTGTGTTTTTAGTTACCGTATCAATCGCAATCACTGCGTCCATCACTCCCAGCATAGTCACTGAAATCCCCACTGCGTTCCCATTAACAAGTGCAACAATCGGCTTTGGGAAGGGAATAAGGATGTCCATGAGGAGTTTGTAGCCATGATGCTCGATAGATCTAAACACAAAGTAAGTCGAAGCATTTTGAAAATTATGAAAAAGCCTCTTACGTGAGAGTGGCAAGCTCAGCTGGTGAGAAATCACTTCCAGCACAATAATACTTTCCTTTCCCTCCAGTAAAGACCACAAATGTGACTTCATCGTCTACAGCTGCCTCTTTAAAAATCTCACAGAGCTCCAGGAACATCTGAAAGTAAAAACCGCCACTTAGAATGAGAAACAAAGGAAACTTGCAGTTCTTGTGATAGCATTGAACTTCTTCGGACGGTTTAAAGTAACCCACAGAACACTTCCTTTGCGCTCAGCTAGAATCAAGCTCTCCTCCATTTTTTATATCTGAAGAAGGTTCAAAGATGCTTCTTTTTACAAGTAGATTGAATGTAGATACGCAGAAAAATGAACTGGTCGATTAAATAGGTGACCGTTTATATCACCACGATGTAGTCTTGACTGTGGCGAATGTTGATTGCGATGCGACTGATAAGGAATACGACGCCTTGTTTTGTTTTTCTTATCTTTTCCGTAGTCTTGAATGTATTTTCCATTGAATTGAGAAAATAAGATCATGAGAAGTCGTTTTGAGAAAAATTAAGTATCCCCCGAATTAGAGTTTTGAGCTCATTTTTGAAGGGCCAAGGTAACTTTTTGAAGATCCAGCTTATTTTTGAAAGGCCAAGCTTACCTTTCAACGATCAAGCTCACTTTCTAATAGCTGAAACTACCTTTATGAGGTGGAAATATTTTATTGGACTAATTACAGCAGAATTCAAGGTCTACAAAGACAAAAGAAAATAATATTCTTCTAAAACATTTAGTCCTTTAAAAATAGGAATAACCACTAAACACAGTTTTTTGGAAGTCTAAAAAGTATTTTCAGTCCTAAAAACAAATGATTTCGATCATACAAAATGAGAACAACGACTTGACAATCAAGAATCAAAAAATTAAAAACCCCCAAAAATCGAATCAGCCCTTACAACTATTTTCGATCTTACTTAGAAAATAGAAAATGGTAATAGGATGGACATTGATTTTCCTGAGGAAGTGGCTCTTCCTGAGGAAATGGCTTTTCATGGAAAACTTTCATGCTAATGAATAGCCCAACTTTTAGTTCCCAACATACCTGTTAATCTCATGATTTTTTTGGTTCATATTTGCAGTGAATGGTTCTCTCGTTCTTCTTCTCTCGCTGCATCTCCACATTGAATGCTCCTTTCGGTCCTCTGACTTGAACCGTTAGCTGTCCAGCTCCGGCTCCTCTGGTTTCAACGACAAAGTTGGATTTGAACAAGAAAAGAATTCCGTGCTCGACTCCTGATCCGTAGACTCGGACTTTGGACGGATCTGGTGGCCGAAAAACGTGTACAATGGAAAATTCTCATGGATTCAGCTCAGATAGAAACTCTAATTTGTCAGAAAAAATATAAATTCTACAAAAATGTTTTTTTTTACAAAAAGAGCAGAGCGCACAGGATTCAGTTCATTTTATTAATGAGCATTTAGAAATTGAAAGGGTGGGTGAAGAAGCTAGGTAAGAAAACATTTGGCAGGATAATTGTTTTTTCATATCTCACAGAAGAAACAGTAAGTCAAATTCAGAATGAGCGGGGAGTTTGGAAGAATTGAAAGAAAGAAATGAGGATAAAAGAGCAGAAAAATGTTTGTGTCATCATCAGAGAAAGGTATCACATTGTATTTTGGGGGTTGGGGTAAACTGGACAAGGAAGAGCAAGGGCATATGACTAAGCAGATGGTATGAGAATAAGCTAAAATAGCAATTGATGCTGTCTCAATTATGAAAATATATATCTCGGAAAAAAAACATAGCACAGAAAAGATTTCAAAAATTATTATAATTTGTAGGTTGAGGTATCACTAATCACGAAATAAGCACGAGAAATTAATGATTGCGTCCTTTATGTTTGGTTGGTGGGGGAACAGATCCGTATGGGCTTGAAACGCCCATCGGTCCGAAATGGCCGGGTGGTGGAAGGAATCGTTGTTGTCCAGGTTGCATTTGGAACATTGGTGGTGGTTGAGCAACCCATCCAGGTGGGATGAATGGGGTAGCTGGTGTTGGTGATGGTGCTTCGCCGCGGAGGAATCGAGAGAGTTCCTTCTCGGTGTCAACAATCATGACGAGGAATGGACTTCCGGGGACGTGTTCGCCGTGCCATTTCACTTCGACCTGAAAAAAAAATAATATTGTTCCGATGAATAGCCCAAGTTCTGGTTTCCAACGTACCTGATAATCTCCTGGTTCCTTTGGTTCATATTTGCAGTGAATGGTTCTCTCGTTCTTCTTCTCTCGCTGCATCTCCACATTGAATGCTCCTTTTGGTCCTCTGACTCGAACAGTCAGCTGTCCAGCTCCGGCTCCTCTGGTTTCAACGACAAAGTTGGATTTGAACAAGGAGAGAATTCCGTGCTCAACTCCTGGTCCGTAGACTCTGACCTTGGACGGATCTGGTGGCAGGGAGACGTGCACGACGAATGGACTTCCTTTAACATGCTCATCGTCGTACTTGATCACCAAGGTGTGCTTTCCAATCTCGGCTGGTCGGACGCAGAGTGCATATGTTCCATCTCTATGATCATATAATTCACAATATGCTGGTTTGGTTGGTCCCATGCAAAGAGCAGAGAGTTGTCCAGATCCGGCACGACGAGTGTCAATGACCGTCTTGATATTCTCATTGATAATTCCAATCTTCAACGTCGAAGCATCTACGTCGATGAGATCAGCAAGATGGGCGGATGTGTCAGCGGACACAGCGAATGGTGATCCTTTCACGTGCTTTCCGTTCCACAGAATGTGCAACTCATAGGTTCCACCAGTCAGTGGGGTGTATGTGGCCTTGTAGACGTTGTGTCCGAGTTGTTGTATTCTGACTGGGATATCTGCTTTAGACCCAAGAAGAGTGGCGGTGATGCGTCCCTCTTTGTTGATGTCACTTCCATCGATGATGAACTCATTGTGCTCCTTGAGCACAGCTCTGTGAAGACCATCTCCTCTAACCATGATTCTGTTGATCTCGTCATCGACGTTCGAACCAGACGACTTTTCACTGAAAGTTACATTTATGAGAAGCTGTCTGGGATCGAATTCAAAATTTCAAAAGGGAAAAACCTACCGTGTGTGGTATGTGGTGGTCATTGGTGGTGGAATTGGTTCCCGAACAGCACGTGAAGTAGTCGGAAGGTCTTCGGCGGCGGATCGGGCTCTAACTGGGAATGCGCTCTCAACTGGCAACTCGTTCCAGTACAAGTAGATCGAGTACCTAGAACATGGTAATGGTCTCTAGTGTTAGTGTTTTTTATTTCGGGAAAATCAAGCAATACTTACTTTCCAGGTTGATCCGGGTTGAATCGAACGCGGTATTTTCCCTGTCCCATGTCCTCGACAACCGGGCCATTACCGAGCAGTGCACTGTCGGCATCTCGAACTTCCGCGCGAAGTTTGCCTGTAAATTTTCTGATTTCAATTTGTTCTGATGTATTTTTTAAGTTTACCGGGTCCGGCTGCCGTCGCGTCGACATCAAACGAGTTCGAGTGACCGAGTCTTAGCAAAAGAGTTCCGTCACGATCCATATCCAAGTCATTGACAATAACTTTAGTGGGATCAACAACATTCACCACAAATGGGCTTCCTGAGATTGGGCGGTTGTTGAAGTCAATGCTGACTGTGTATGGTCCAGTCTCTTCTGGGTAGAAAACGACTTCTGATGTTCCGTTCGGACGACGCATCACGTTGTGGTGAATCTTTTGTCTGTCTGGTCCGGCAACATGGATTTTGAGTCCTCCGTTAGTCTTTTTTGGATCGAAAATTAGAGAAGCTGGCTCGCCGATCTTGATCGATTGATCCACGGCGGCACCGTAGACCGTTGGCTTTTCTTGCTCGCTAACCAAAATGGTCTGTGGATATCCTGAAAAAATTTCAAGCTCTATAAATAATCAAAAGCTGTTACTCACCAGGGAGCTGGAATCCAGCCACTTTCACATTAACTTTGTGCTCTCCAGTTTGGTTTGGCAAGAAGGTGACACGGTCCTCGCCTCCTGGCGACTTGAGAGTTTCCGTGCGGAGTGGTGTTCCAGATGGATCGGTGATCTCAACTTGGAGCTCTCCATTTCCAGCATTACGGCGATCAACATTGATAGTGGTGGCATGACGGAGCAAGATTGGCTCGGAGAGTCCACGAACTTCCACATTCTTCACATCAATGACTTCAGTTTTGAATGGAGATCCTGGGACTGGAACATCTCCGAACGTCACTTCAATGGTGTGAGTTCCAAGATGTTCTGGAGTGAACTCTACCCAGTAGCTGTCATCTTGTTGTTTGTAGCAACGGACTGGAAGTGGTCCTCCTTTTGGATCTGGAATATTTCAGGAGGGTTAATAGGGTTCTTGAAAAGACAGTCAGATTGTGAAAATGAAAATTATGAGTAAAAGATAGACATAGAGAACAAAACATGCAAACGACACATGCACATACACATTCTCTGAAATTTCTGAAATTGATAGGAACGAATTATAGATTAAGAGTTTGGTAATTTGCATAGATGTAATAGAAGAAAGCATCAGGGTTCTTGGGGAAATTGTGTCTTCTCATTCCTTCTGATGGTTTACCTGACACCATCACATCTAGTTCACCACGATTCTGTTCAACATTGATCACTTCGAAACGTGCGGTTCTTGCACGCTGCGCTTTTTTCAGTGCGTCTCCAGAAGCGCGAACAGTTCCAAGATGACTGATGAACACTTCGTAAGGTCCTTCTGAAAGAAAACAACTATTAGAAAAGTGGGAACCAAGATTACTGTAGTTATACCTGTCAATGGGACTCCATCAATAATCACATCGACTTGATGCGGTCCGTCAACGAATGGGGTAAATGTGCAGAGAAGTTGTCCGGGTTTCATTTTCTTCACCGTTGTTGGAATTGGTTGGTCACCATGTCTGACTTCTACCGTAGCAATGGAAGCGCCACTATTGGTGTAATCAACACTGAACTGTTGTTCAACTCCAACTGGAGCATTCTTCAGGCCGACGACTCGAACAGCAGATGGATCCAATACATGAATAGGGAAAGGAGATCCTGGGATTTGTTCACCAGCTACCAAAATTGACAACTCGTGTTCTCCTTCAACTTGTGGTGTCCAAATTGCTGACCATAGTGTCTCCGAAACCTTCTTCATGTAGACTTCATTATCCTCTCTATCCGGTCCTTCGATAATCACCTCGACTTGTGACTCAACACCAGAATCAATCAAAATCTTCAGTTCGGTTTGCTCTCCAACGATTTCACGTTTCGGCTCGGAAACCAATTGTGCTCCATTAAGTGGATCAATCACTGTTTGCATTTTGCGCTCTCCAATTGGTTGGTCATCAACAAAAACGTCAATCGAGTGGGGTCCAACTTCTTTGAAGCGAGAGGATACGCGTACACCGCCGTCAGGTAGGTCTTCCATTTGAACTGGTAGCATTCGACCAGATGGTTCTCGAATAGTAACACGGACTTGGTTTTTGTCATCGGAGTTTACTAAAAATTTGAAATTGAGAATTTAGAGCTGTATATCTAAAACCATCAAAAGAATTACCATCAAAAGAATATTTCTGTCCTGCAAGACACACCGGTGGAAGAGTGTGTCTCTCATCCTTGATTTTGATCACAAACTCGTCGATGACTTCATGGTCCAAATAGATTTCCACTAGATGTTCTCCTAAAAAATTGGAGTTCCAATCGAATCCTTTTCCGTGTATGCTTACCAATTTGCGTAGGAGTGAACTCGGCGTATGCAGATGTTGAAGATTTTTGAATTGTCACAGGTACCAGCGATCCGTCAGGAGCTTTAGAACACATAACACACATATACACATTCAAGACAAAAAAGGGACATAGGACGACAAAAAGAGAACCCAAATTAGAGAACCCAAAAAGCTAATAAGCGTTAAATCCCAAGTTGTGTTTTGTTTTCCCAATCAAAAGAGAAGGTGCTCAGCAAATTGAAACCGAAGTTATAAAAGTTATTATACTAACCTGTGATCACCACATTGCAATCGGAAGATTTGTTGATGTTATCGATGGTGAATCCCTTCTTCTGTCCAACTTGAGCCGAGTTTAGCTCACGTGCCAATCCAGTCTTCTCAACCTTCTCCTTGATTTCTGGAGTCTTCTGGAGCACTGTGGTAGTTGTTTGCTTGACTGGAATCACTTCTGATGAGTGTTGTGGTGTGTGTCTAGCGTGCTGGCTGGCTGCCACGGCAGCTCCAGTTCCAATGGCTGCTGGGAGGACAACGGCGGCTGGCACAGCTCCTGTTGGGCTCACAGAGCAGATGAGTGGAGATCCGGGGACACTGATTCCGTTGAATTTCACACTGATGGTATGATCCTTTGCGTCTTGTGGAGTGAAAGAGACTTTAAAACGGGCTTGGCCTTCGGCTTGGACGAAGTTTGGCACATTTCTGTTATCAACAGACACAATAATCTCCATGTTTCCAGCTCCAGATCTAGCCGCATCGATCACGAAAGTTGCTGGTTTTCCAACAACGGCACCGGTTGGTGGAACAAGTACTGTCTTCCTTGCATCATATGCCTTTGCGGTGAATGGAGATCCAGCGATGGCTTCTCCACCAAGAGTGATGTCAATCAAATGATTTCCAACACATTTTGGAACGTAGGTGGCGATGTGGAGAGTGTTGTTTTCACGGCTACGAGTGACATTGACTGGCAAGTCATTTCCTTGTGGATCACGAACGCGGGCTTCTGGAGCGATTTCTGTGTCTGAAAGAATATTGAGTTGAAGACATCGATGATATATTTCTTACCCTCAGTCAAGATCTGAATCTCAGTTTCCTCGTCAACTGGAATTCTCTCGATTCCGGCTCCAGTTGCTGTTGCTTGGGCGGTGGCGACTAGTTGGCAAATGAATGGAGATCCTGAAACGCGTCAATGAAAGGCACGCCTTGCGCAAAACGCGATTTACCTGGTACTGGTTCATTGTTGAAACGAACAGTAATGGTGTGGTCGACATCTTCTTTGGGGACGAATGAAATGTCGTACTTATGATGGCCAAGAGCATGAGCCATAGATGGAACACGTCCTTCACAAACAGCCACCTCTAGATTTCCAACTCCGGCTTCAGATGCATCAACTAGAATTGGAAAATTAATTTAAAAAGCTATATTACTGTAGCCGTACCGGTGAAATAGACTGGTTTGTCAAGAAGACCCTTTGGGATGGCTCCGACCTTGATCTTAGCTGGATCGTAAGCTCTGCAGGTGAATGGGGAGCCCGTGACTGGTACACCACCATATCTAACATCAATTTCGTGATCTCCAACTTGAGCGGGTGTGAAGTTGATTTGCATGTGTCCTGGCTCAATTTCCACGATTTCTGTTCCAATTTCATTTTTCTTGCTATCTGAAACGAATAGAAAAATTGATTGGGGGACAATCTTCAAGTGTTAGAATAGGGGTAAGATTCTAATTTCATGCAGAGAGGGGAAAATAGGAATGTACAGTGAAGAGGAGCAAAAAATTTTCAGATTTTTTTTCAAGAACACGAATGTCTGAAAACCTGAAACATTTCAAATTATCAAATTTACTGGAAAACCTACCAAGGACGCGAATCTCGAGCTGATCGTGACCGGATACCTCAACGACAAGGGAGGACGGTTGTCCAACCCGTGAAAGTGACGGAATTTTGGATACGGTCGTTTTGGCAGGGAAACGATGTGTCTTACTCTGAAAGACATTTTTAGATTAGGAGATGGATTTGTTGAAAAATTGAGTTGGAAGAAAAACATGCTAAATTTCAAAGAATGACACTTCCGAGCGGTTTATCTCATTTATGTGAATTTTTACAAAATATTTGTCAACTACAAAACTGAAGCTCTAATTTTGTTTAGTAAAATTACTAAACTTTTCAGACATCTGAAGGCTATTTTGTTTGAAAGTAGCTAAAATTGAAAAGCTTTCGTTAAGTACCGTATACCATTTTTTGTACAGAAGTGTTCGTAAATCTCATGCTACTCTCACAAAACGGTTAGAAAACAACCGGAAGATGCGCAAAAAATGATTCGGAAAAAAAAAGTAAGCCCCCCTCCGGACAAGGTCGTTTCTTATTTCTTCTCTCTTTTCCTTTCCAACCTCTTTATGCGATTATGTTTGCGAACTGATGCGAAAGAAAACTGTTTTGCGGCCCCTTCTCCCCCCTCCAATCAAAATCTTATGACACTGTAAACAAGTGAATTAGGATGAGCAGCATTCCAGTTGAGAAGAGGATAAAATGTGTTGGAATGTGCTCACTTCAATGTGAATTCTAACCTGACTCTGACACTGAATTAGTGTATAAAGATGCACAAACAGCCTTTTGCAGAACGCTTCTTTTTCTTACAAAAACAAGTAGAAACCAGAAAGCGACAGGAAATCAAGTTGCTCACCTTTTTCTCCTTCTTCAGCGTAGCTCGTTCTTCTTTTTCACGTTTAGCACGTTCTTTCTCCTCTCTTTTCTTCTCCTTTTCCTGCTCCTTCAACTCTTTTTTGCTCAACGATGGAGAAGCAACGGCAGCTACTCCTACTGGAGCTTCTAGAGCGACTGGTGGAGGAAGTGGAGCGTCCACAATATTCACTTCGAATGGAGAATCTGAATGAAGAAGGTTTTGGGGGGGGGGGGGTGGAAAGTGGCTTTTTCAATAATAGACTCACTCTTCAACACTTCCTTATTGAAAGTGATATTTACGGTGTGGGCACCTTTGGTGGCTGGTGTGAACGTCACCAAAAACTTGGCGGATCCACTTTCCAACTGCGCCACATGCGATGGAATGATGACACCATCAGCATCCTTAATAGCCATTTCGAGATTTCCGAATCCGGCACGTCCAGCGTCCACTACAATAAGAAACAATAAATTACTGATGTTCATTCTTTTCCATGACCCCTTACCTGTGAACTCAACAGTGTCATTGAGATTTGATTGGTGTGGAATTTCTCCGACAATAATTTCCGACGCATCGTAGACACGGACGGCGAATGGAGACAGTGGATGTTGAATCTCGTTCACATAGGCAAACACTTTGTGAGTTCCCACTTCGGTTGGCTTGAAAGTGATCTCGTACTTGCTGCTGCTTTTCTTGACCTTAGCGTCAACCTCGGTTGGTGGGCCACCATTGGCTCCTGGGATCGCCTTGTTGGCTGGTGCTAAAGATTGATTTAATAATCTTAAATGTTTCGATGAAAGAGTTTAACTTACGCATAACAACGACACGAAGATTGTCTTCTTTTCCCAACTTGATTCCCTCGAGCTTGACTTCCACTTCCTTTCCTCTCTTGATCACATCATGCTTGCAAGTGAATTTGCTCTTTCCAAAGTCGAATGGCTTTCCATCTTTTCCATCCTTTCTGAACTTCAACGACATTTTTGGAGTGGTAGCTGGAGTAGATTTCGACGATGGAACTGGTGAGTGTGGCAACTCGTCGCTTGGTCTCAATGGCACTTCTGGAGCCATCGCTGCCTCAACAACATCGTCACGGATTTGCTCGGTAACTGGCTCTTGGATCTCGATTGATGGTTCCGGCTTTCTGGTGAATCCATGTTTGGCGAGAATCTTGTCATCTTCGGATTTTACCCGAAGGTACTCTTCGGTTCTACGAGCTTGCTCAGCTTTGCTGATCTCGATGACTGGTGGTGGTGGGCAAGAGGTGTCTGCTGGATGGTCACCATTCTTAGCACGTACGTAGTCATTCTTGGTTTCCTTCAAATCATCGGATCTTAATGCGATTTCTGGGGCTGGTGGGCAGTCAGCAATAGTTCCGTATGGCTCTTCCTTGGCACGAGCGTAATGATCTCGCACTACGGCGTCCTTACTGTCAGAGTAAGCAATCTTAGGAGCCGCTGGGTATTCTCCAACAACTCCATAGTGATCCTCCTTAGCTCTATTATAGCTGCTGAGCTCTTCCTTTCTATCAGAATAGTCAATATTTGGAGCAGCTGGGTAAGAAGTGTGACGGGAAGCTTCATAGATGTCATCTTCGCGTCCCTTGGAATAAGCGGAGCGAGCAGAAGTTTGATCAGCAAGAGCAATAGTTGGCTCTTCTGGGTATTTGTGAAGCTTCTCTTGTGGTGGAAGATCATAAATCGACTCCTTCTCATCAGATCTATGAAGGTGTGTCTCAACTGGCTCGAAAACCTTCTCCGATTGAGTTCTCAAAAACCCTTGTCTCTCCTCATGCTCATTCATTGGTTCTACATGCCCTTCTGGCGTCGTGGCTCTCTTCTTTGGCACACTTGGTTTCTTGTCAATGTTCTCGTACTCGGTAGTTGTCGTGGTTCTAGTTGTCGTGACTTCAGAATAAACGGGCTCGTATCCCTTGTAACTTGCCGAGACGTGACCCTCGACTCGTGGTGGTGGAAGTTCTGGGGTGTCTCGTTTCTTGTCATATCGCTCGTAGACGGTAGAATATTCTGGGGATGTTGGTCGTTGCTGTTGAATTGAAGAGTAGTATCCAGCAGATGGAGGACGATCTTTCTTATCCAACGTATCTCCGAAATATCTTCGTTCTGGGGTAGAACGAGCATCTCCATACTGAGCAACAGTGTATCCAAGAGTGTTTTTGTTGTCTCTTTCCAATTGTGCTCTTCGCTGCTCACGCTCCTCCTCATCAGCCAATGGATCCATCCTCTCCACCTTCTTCACTCGCTCGTTAGTGTCGAATGGTGTGTCCATTCCTTGAATTGGTGATAGTGGCGTCTCACTGATATGAGTGGCAACACTAGATGTTCTAGCAGGGGATGGAGATCTGAGAATGTTAAATTGAATAAGAATACTTTGTTAGGAGTTTTATACCTGTAAGTGGTTCTCTTCTCCACAAATTCTCTCTCGTATCCTGGAGGAGATGGAGACCGGGCGATGCGCTCAGCGAATTCTTGAGTTCTGAAATACAATTTTTATGAATTATGTCTCTCATTTTCTAATGCTTTCAAATAAATGATAGATTGTTTAGCAAGCGATAGAAAAGGACAATTACAATACCTCACGCTTCCGTACGATGTGTTCGAGGCGCCTCTCGGAGGTGATGGAGATCGGTGAGTAGTGCGAGTGATAGTTTCTGTGATTTGGGTGGATCTGAAAGATTGGACTTGTTAAGGAAGATAGGATAGTTTTGGCAGTATCTACTGAATAAAATAAATTGCGTGGAAATCAAATTGATTGTCAACACCAGTTAGCAAAAAGGATAGAAAAAAACGAGGGGGGCAAAAATGATGATTGGAAGACACACATGCATACATAGACAGACTTGAAAACGCCTAATTTGTTGTGTGTGTGTGTGTGTCACAATAACTACTAGAAGACAAGGACTGCCATCAAATCGTGTCTTGAATTTACCTCAAACCAGTTGGCGATGGAGTTCTGTGAATGACGGTGTGAGTCTCGCGAATGTTTCGATTTCTGGATGGGTCGCTTGGTGATAAGGTGCGCTCCACATCTCCTCCAGAGCCATAGACTCGGTCGTAGACTGTGGACGCGCTCCAGTCACGGTGTGGAGATTGAGAGAAGGCGTTGCGAGATGGTGATGGAGCGTAGGACTGAAAATTTGGAAAATTACTACCTTTTCAAGTCAAATTCTAAAACTAGTATAGTATAATTTTAGTAAGAATACTGCTTTCAATTTTCATTAAGTTTACTGGATACCATATTTATGGTTTTTAATGTTACCGCTTTTAAAAGTGGATTGGATTACTGTACTTCAGATTAAAACTACAGTACTCTCATGTTTTCTATTCACTGTTTTTGTCATCTACTCAAAATTGTTTTGTGAAAGTTCGTTCTCGGAAGATACAAAAACGAAAAAAAAAAGTTTCTTACCGATTGCCATGGCTTGTCTGTGTTTCTGGACTCTCTGAGAAGCTGTGGACTTCTGAGCATCGTCTCTTCACTGCGTTGTCTGGCATGTTGAAGAAGTGTTGGAGACGTTGGACTTCTGGCTGAGAGTGGAGAACGTGCAGTCTCACGGAATGCTCCGGAAATCGAGGATTGTCCACCTGTAATTACTTGGTTTCCTCTTCCCGTTGATTCTATACGTTCTGTACATTAACATCTACATTCACCGTTACATTTTTATGAATATTTTACTATTCTATTGTTGTGCGAGAAGAGATTAAGTTTGCGTTGAAAAGGAATAAAACCAAGTAGCCGGTTTAGTATTAGGTTTACTGTTTCATCTCTATCTTTCTCTCTCTTTTTGCTAACAGTTTACTACTCATTTCCGATCACAATCATTTTCAATTGACCTTTGTTTCTTCACTTCGAAGTACATTCATCTATGGTCAATGCGTTCGCGAAAGTAGACGTCAAAGCAATTCACTGTTTTCTTAGATGATGAAGGACACACAAACAAAAATCACAAAACGAACCTGCTGAAATGGCGGTCGACACAGCGGTCGGCGTCAAATTGGCGTGAATTTGCTGACCCACTTGTTTTGGCAGAATCTCCACTTTGATCGGGCAACCTGCAATTAATAAACAATGAAACGTCTGTTGAGGTCTTCTTCGCAAGTACAGTTTTATGACTGTTGGGGGGGGGGGGGGGGGTATTCACAGAAAATCAACAACCAAAAAAAAACTGTTGCCAAAAAAACTGTTTTGCGTGATAATCTGACGGGATTAGTTGTTGCAAAACTGACAAAATTGTGATTTTCTGTTTCAACTAACCATGAACTTGCTCTCCATTAAATGTGACATCAATGACATAGGTGCCAGCGTGTTGAGGGATGAAAGTGACCAAGCATCTGGAAATTCAAACTTTTAAGTCCAAAAAATGAAGCTACTCACCTTCCAGCTCCTTGCATTTGCACATTATTTGGCACTCTTCCCTGATTCACCGAAATCTCGAGTTGTCCTTTTCCAGCCTCGACAGCATCCACTGCAGGAATCACGTATAATTGTGAATAGTAGCTAGGCTTCTCAGGTCTTGCTTTGGTATTAGCCAACACATGGCCATCCTCAGGCGGACCGTCACTCATTACGCATCCGCTTCTTTAATTAGTGAGCGGCGTATATGCTAATGGTAATCTTGTGAACTAGTAGGTAGAGTAGTAGGGAATAACAGTTCTCAGGAACTTTCTTCTTGAGAGACGAATTCAATTGAAAAGAGAAGAAAGTAGTGAAAGGAAGTAGGAGGTAAAACGGGGGGAATACAAAAACAGAATTGCGTCTCTCCTCACTGACTGACAGGCTATCAGAATTGGAATACGAACTGAACTTTTGCGGTGGTGTTGTACACGCGCTACTGCTTCGGAAACGAATTTTTCGCGCTTTCTGTCTAAACACTTCGCAACGCCTACTCTCTCTCACAGGCATACACATCTTCTATTCTCTTTTTCCTCTTACCATAGAACTGTACTGGCTGATTTGGCGATCCTCCACCCAACGGTTCCAGGCGAACTTTTTCGGTTGCGTAACCTGAAAAGAAGAAGAAGTTTTGTTTAAAGAAGTCAACAGTTCATGTGATAAACAAAATTGAGAATTTATCTATTTGATGAGATGATGAGACTCTCATCATGAGAGATAGGAAGAGAAGGATGGAACATATCAAATTACTTTTTGTTTAGTTTTTTTTTTTGGAAAAGGGACTGACATAACACAAACACTAGAAACGTTAGTGGAACCAGAGGCAAGAGAGCCCGGTAATTCAAGAATTTTGAAACTAATGATTTGGAACCAGTCTAAATTTCAAAAATCTGATTTAATACGAGACAAGAATACATACAATTTTACTATTTTCCATTTTGAAAAAGTTAATTTTAAGAGTCCTGAGAAAGTATTTCGGATTTTCTCCATTGCTCTGAAAATTTCATAAATGACTAAACGGGATTGAAACGTCATTTGTGTAATTAACACCTTTTTCGGCAAATTCCATCTTGATGAGATATGCCTCTTTGACCAAAATGGCAAAATTAGCTCTGAATTAGAGAATTGTGAACCATGAAACGGCTTTTATTGGATTTGTTGGATTTGTCTAAAAAAGTTGTCAATTGCAAAATTGAAGCCCTATTTTTGTTTAGTCTACTTCAAGATTTTCAGAAGATTCGAAAAATTTTCAAATACTTTCTGAGGACTTTGAAATTGATGATTTGACCACTACTGTATTTGTCCAGTTCTTCAAATTTGTTTCTGAGATTCCAGCCTTACCTGCTACTGAAAGTGGACTTCCGTCAACTTTTCTTCCGGCAATCCAAACTGTCAAATGATGTTCTCCAACTTGCTCAATCTCATACTCTGCTGTGTACTTTCCCGAGCTTCTTGGAATGATTCGAATTGGGAATTCCTTGTTATCGGGTCCCACAATTTTGGCTTGAATATCACTGAGCTCGAGTCCTTCTCCAGTGATATCAAAATGAGCAACACGATTGACCGGAGCTCTGACGAGTCCGGGTCCGGACAGCTCTGAGTAGTAGGACATGGTTCTGAAAGCAGTTTTCTTTTTCACATGTGTTGTTTTATTGATTTTCGTTGTTTCTCTTTTCTCTTGCATTGAAATTACAAAATGTCTTAGTCAGTCTTATGCCGAGAAAAAAATGAGTAATAAAATTCGAAAACAAAGATGTGTCTTCTTCTTTCTTCATCATTTCACTCTATCTGTGTTGCTTCTGGCAACTAAAAATGTGTTGTCTGTGTGTGTACGAGAGTGTGTTTGATGGCAGAAATGTTTCGAGTATGTATGTACATACCTTTCCATTTCCTGTCGCCTCTCGCCGCGATCCTCAACTGGCAATTTCCATGGGCTTCCCGAAACGTGTTCTCCATTGAACCTCATTTCGATTGTATGGGTGATAGACTGAAATTTGGCAAGATTGTTTTGGAAGTGAGGGGTACTTGTTAGTTATCTCAGTTCCTATAAGAAATATTGAAAGAAAACTGTCAGAATCTAAGAATCTCTGAACCTCAAATCGTCAAAATCTAAGAATTTGAACCTCAGAATCTCAGAATCTCCAAGTTTCAACAATTCAAAATCTAAGGATCTCTGAACAGCAGAATCTTAAAATCTCAAAATCTAAATGTAAGAATCTCTAAACTTCGGAATCCCAGAATCTCCAAATCTCAAAAATTCAAAATATAAGCATCTCAGAATCTAAGAATCTCAAAATCTTAGAATCTCAGAATCTCAAAATCTCAGAATCTCAGAATCTCAGAATCTCAGAATCTCAGAATCTCAGAATCTCAGAATCTCAGAACCTCAGAACCTCAGAATCTCAGAATCTCCGAATCTCAAAATCTCAGAATCTCAGAATCTCAGAATCACAGAATATCAGAATCACAGAATCTCAGAATCTCAGAATCTCAGAATCTCCGAATCTCAAAATCTCAGAATCTTCGAACCTCAGAATCTCAGAATCTCCGAATCTCATAAATTCAGGATCTAAGGATCTCTGAACCTCAGAATCTTAGAATCTCGTAATTTCTGTTTCACAAAATTCCTGAATTTCAGGGTTTTAGAAGGTCAGACCCTCCGAATCACAGGATTCCTATTGTCTGATCAATAGTGTAACTAGTTGATAGAATTAACAGTAAATTATACCTGTGTCGGTGTGAAAATGGCCATGTACTGTCGGCTGCCAAGCTCTCGAACTCGACATGGCACTCGGCCGCCATTGATCATAATTTCAAGATTGCCGGATCCGGCAGCAGACGCGTCAACTGAAAATTCAAACGGTTTAGGAAAATAGTGCATTTTGATTAGATGATATTTTCAAGAATGAGCCTTTTTATAACTTCCTGTTCTAGTTTCAATTTTTGCTAGATTATGAGTGTTTGAGGTATTCATAACATTTTTTAAATAATGTAATTTTATAAATTCGAGAAGAAATCTCATTAATATTAAAAAATATCAAAACCTTATAAATTAAAGTTCTAGAAACTCGATTCTGAATACTAGATATACAATTTTTGAGATATATCCACTTTTTAAGAGTCAATAGCATAAATCCATAAATGTCATATGTATCGAATTGCCAAAAACGAAATACACCCGCAATAAACTATGAAACCTCTCGCAACTACAACAATCCGCACACAAAACGTCGGGAATCGAAAATCGGAATATACCCGAACAAAAATTGTTTGGAAGAATGGAAGACAATTTCAATGAGACGCGCCAACCACACAAACAACTACGATTCTTGTGTCCTATAGGTATTACTACTACCGTAGAGTTTTCGAGTAACTAAAGAGACAGAAAATAATGATGACATGGGGGAACCATATGACAATAAGTTCCGTGCTGCACTTTTTTTTTCTTCACCTGAACTCTCTATAGCCTCACATTCCGACTTTCAAGTTGGTTGCATTCGCAAACATATGTGTGTGTGTGTGTGTGGCGCGGGACGTCTTTAGAGGGTGAGTTACTTGTGCAGAAAGGTTATCATCATTTGGTAAATACAAATTCGCGCATCGCAAAATTTTGTTTATTTATTTTAGTGATTTTTGAAATTTCTAAATTTCTGTTTCAAAAAATAACTTCCGAAAAAAATGGTGGTGAAGTATTAACGAGAAGTGTGTTGTTTGTTCGTTTTAGTGAGGGTAAACAGGTATCAAATTGAAAAATGAGTTGAAAAGGGTTCTGAAATTTGAAATTTGTTTTTGAAAATGAAAAAAACAAGAAAAATTCTTTCCCAGGCTTTCAATATATAGAAAAACCGAACTTTTTGAAACCTTACTATCTAATCTTGGAATCTCAGAATCTCAGAATCTCAGAAACTCAGAATCTCAGAATCTCGAAATCTCAGAATCTCAGAATCTCAAAATCTCAGAATCTCAAAATCTCAGAATCTCAGAATCTCAGAATCTCAGAATCTCAGAATCTCAGAATCTCAGAATCTCAGAATCTCAGAATCTCAGAAACTCAGAATCTCAGAATCTCGAAATCTCAGAATCTCAAAATCTCAAAATCTCAGAATCTCAAAATCTCAGAATCTCAGAATCTCTGAATCTCAGAATTTCAACATATGAGAATATTTAAGTCTCAAGAACTGAGAATAATAGAGATTCAAAATTTCAGAATCTGAGAATGTCAGAATCTCAGAATCTGAGAATCTCAAACTTTCATAATCTCAGAATCTCAGAGTCTTAGAATCTCAAAATCTTAGAATTTCAGAATCTCATAATCTCAGAATCTCAGAATCTCAGAATCTCAGAATCTCAGAATCTCAGAATCTCAGAATCTCAGAATCTCAGAATCTCAGAATCTCAGACCCTCAGTATCTCAGAATCTCAAAATGTGAGAATATTTGTCTCAGAAACTCAGAATACTAGTGATTCAAAATTTCGAAATCTCAGATTCTCGAAAAGCAGAGTACAGAAATATGAGAATCTCAAAACTTCAGAATGTCAGACCTTTGGAATTTCAAATTTTCAGAATATTATAATCTCGGATTTTTGAAATCTCAGAATTCGAAAATTCTAGAATTTTAAAATCTCAGTCTCCGAATGTCAGAACAGAATCTCAGATTCTTAAAGTACCGAGACTTCAGACGCTCAGAATCTCAAAACCGCATATTCTCGGAATCTCATTGTATCAAGAATCCAGACTCTCAGTGTTTCAGAATCTCAGAATTTCTAAACCCCATAATCTATGTATTTGAAAATTTGCGAAGCTAAGAATATCATAATCTCGAATCTCAGCGCAATTTTAGGATTCGGAGAAAAATAAATAATATCAAATTTTAAACACAGAATCAATTGTTCAAAAATTATAGTTTTTTTTCAGTGGAAGCAAAAAAAGGAGACCATAGAATGACAATAGAAAAAAAGAGAGAGAACGAAAAATTAGTTTCTCTCGTTCCGATTCAAAAACATACAGTGTTCCAGGGGTTTGTCCCACATCACAAAATTGAAAAAGTCAGTAAATTCTCTCGTTTTCGATTTTGTGCCCCTCCACTCAAACGAGCAAGTATCTCTGCCTTCCTTACTTTTTTTTCCCTCAACTCTCAACTTCAAAGGTAAACAAATATTGTATAACTGAATGAGCATCTCTTGACTTTCCGCAAACTCTAGTCCTTTGGATGCCAAAGGGAACGGAGAGTAACTAACCGGTCGTATAACAGAAGTTTGGCATTCTGTTTCAAGTGTGTGAGTTCTTTTCAAAAATGTCTTTGCCTCTTTTGCTCTCCAAATTTGAGCATTAACTAGATGAAAAATAGGTAGGAATAAATTCAAAAAACGAATACTTGAGTAGTATACAGGTCGAAGAGTTGAATGAAAAACTGGTGTAGAAACTGGCTGATGGGATGTGTTTCCCGGTGTCGATTAAAAGAGAGTTTTACGTTCTATGCGCAGAGGGCAGCACAATTATTGTCGTTGGTAATGTTGTATAGGAATAAAAGTCAAACTGGCTGTGTTTATTGTGTACTGGTTGTTTTGTTTTTCGGAAAAAAAAACTCTTATCTATCTACCCTCATGACTTTTAGTACCTGGAAATAAACCATGGAAAAGTTAGAGACTCTTGTTTCAAGCTGACAATGCTTTTCCTTGTTTTCGGGTTTCCGTTCCTCTCCATGAACCTCACCGACAAGGTTACGCAAATCGAGAAATGTGGGTCAGCGAATTGACATGTCGTCATAAATGTTTGTATGTGTATGTCTGACCGTTTGGTTTCTATCTCTACCCGCCAAATGACCGGAGAGTGACTAATATTTTCGGAGGAGATGGAGAAACACGAGGAAATTTGTCGAATTTTTCGGTTTTTTAAAGATCCTATCTAATCGGGTAGGTTGGCAGGCGAATAGGCGAAGAAGATTCGTGAATCATGGAGAATTTAGATAGAGAAGTTTTGTCGGGATGAGTCAGGAGGGAGGGCATTTGAAATTTGAAAAAGTGAAAATGAGCGTGGGATCTCAGAATCTCAGAGTGAGATTAGTTTGAAACTTCAGAAACTTAAAATGTTGAAATATTAGAATATCAGAGAATAAGAAGGTTAAAATCTTAAAACTCAGAAACCAAAAATTTAAAAATCTCAGAATCTCAGAATCTCAAAATCTCAGAATCTCAGAATCTCAGAATCTTAGAATCTTAGAATCACAGAATCTCAGAATCTCAGAATTTCAGAATCTCAGAATCTCAGAATCTCAGAATCTCAAAATCTCAGAATCTCAGAATCTCAGAATCTTAGAATCTCAGAATCTCAGAATCTTAGAATCTCAGAATCTCAGAATCTCAGAATCTCAGAATCTCAGAATCTCAGAATTTCAGAATCTCAGAATTTCAGAATCTCAGAATCTCAGAATCTCAGAATCTCAGAATCTCAGAATCTCAGAATCTCAGAATCTCAGAATCTCAGAATCTCAGAATCTCATAATGTCAAAATTTCAGAATCAGAATCTTAGATTCTCAGAATCTCAGAATGTCAAAATCTCAGAATTTCAAAATCTCAGCATGTCAAAATCTCAGAATCTCCGAGATTTCTTAATGTTCAAAGCAAAGAGTAGAATTTAGAAAAAATTTTAACTCAATTGTCAATAAACCAGAACATTGAATGGAAAAAGTTTCTTTTTACATAATTATTTGAACTTTGGAATCCTCATAACATGATTATTTGAGAAGCCTAAAATCTAATGAAAATAAAATCAACAAAATTCAAATTCTTAAATAATGTAAAAAGTTTCAACTCACTTTCAAAAGAGTGATCTGTGTTCAACTTGGACGGTACAATCCGGCGCGGCATGTTTCGGACGTGCACCAAGTCTGGTGCACCGACATTGCACGCAAATGGTGCATCGGGTACTCGTTGATCTGCCAGCATCACATCCACACTGTGTTCGCCTGGAAAACACAACGTAATGAAGTACGAATTTACACCTAATATCATTTTGAATGAATGGCACTGACAAAAAACACTCGAGAGACAAAAAGAGACAAGGGGTGGTCTAATCAAAATCATTAAATTGTTGTGTGCGTGTCTTGTCATCAACAAATAATCGATGATCGGCAGAAGGAACAACAGAAGACGTCGGAAGAAGAAGAAGAAGAACCGTAGGTGAAAAAGAGACAAAACGGAGAGTTTTCGGGGCCATCTTTCGCTCGTCGAGACGATGGCGAGAAGAAGGACACCCATGAGGGGGGGGGGGGGGAGGAGGAAGAGATATTGACCGATAACATTAGGCGTAATGTCGATTACCTCCTCCTCCTCCCGACCATCACCACATATACACAACACCGGTGTGCGGTTTCTCTCTGTATCTCTCTCTCTCTCAATTGCCTTAAACCTACTGTCTTGTACATTTATATGAATGGAATGAAACTTATCAGTGACTAAGTTTTTTGTTGTTGGGACATTACTTGGAATGGGGGTGGAAGTAGAAAAAAATACTGGCAAGACCCTCCATGAAGAATGGCATGAGCCCTTATCAGTTTAAGCTTCTTTCCGGAAGGTTTTTTTTTGTTAAACTGGGGATTTCTTTGGCGCCAGAGAGTAAAATTGTTCGGCAAATAAACAAAAATGAAACCTTGGCAAAACAACAACCCAAAATCAAGTGAACAGGTTTACAATCACTCCCACCACAATACTTCAAATTATATAAGTATATATTTTGTAAAGTTTTGTTTCTTCTTCCTTAAAGATGAAAAATGAAAGAAAAAAAACGATAAATGACAAATCTGAGGACGAAAACGGAAAAGATCTTGGGGCTGAACCTAAACCACACCCAAATAGGGAGAGAAGATAGATGCCTAGAGGTCGATAACAAAAGGTGTTAGTTTCTTTGTATGATAAGACACTGGTACTAGAGTGGTGAAGTAAAATAGTACAGAAATTGTTTCTAATGGAGCATCTAATAAGGAGCAATAAAAAGTTTGTGTACCTAGTGTGCTTGTGCTCTTGTTGTTATCAAAAAATTATTTTGAAAAGTGAGCAGAAGACGAAAGAGAGGAAATCAGGAAAAAAAGGATATGAATATATGTTTCTTCTCAGAAGAAGAAGAAGAAGAAGAAGAACAAATCAAATTTTAGATTCCTCCTCTCTCCCTCTCTTTAGGTTTTTCTTTCACAAACAAAACTACAAACCTGGTTCATTTGGCGTCCATTCGATTTTAAACGTGACATCGTCCAATGTGACGATTTTGGCTGGGAACTTGCCACCCGATGGTGCTAAAACTCAGAATTCTAGATAGATCTATAGAACCGAATTACAAAAATAAACGTACCAACATAAAATAAGCTTTGAGACATTGAAGAACAAAAAGACACTGATGGAGCAGACAGCGACACAGACGAACAACATATATTTTGATTTTCTTCCTCTTTTTTTTTTATTTTAATTTTTATAGAGAGAGATTCATGCGTTTAGGTGAAAAGGAAAGGTGAACATTTTTGTGATAGTTAGTACAATACACACTTTTCACATGTAATATGAATTTAGTACGGGGGTTTTAAAAAATACCTGTGACATAAGCGCTGATATCTTTGGCATCTGCTCCAACAGCATGGACCATGAAGGATGCGGTTTTTCCAACTGATGCTGATCTCAAATTTTCACCATAGGTGGACACTGATGAAGCGTCGGCAATGTCCAAAACGAATGGGGAGCCTTTAAGATTAGGGTAGCCAGAATGATATCAAAATAAAGATTCTATGTACCTTTAATCTCCATTCTATTGAACAACACGTGGATTTTGTATTGACCAGCTCCGTCGGGAATGAACGATACTTGGTGGTTTTTTGAATTTCCTTGTTCTTCGATGTTCAACGGAATTTCTCTTCCGTGACGTAGAACCGTAACCTGAAAAGAAAAGAAAAAAAAATCAAAACACACTAATTTACCAGAACCCTTGTGCTATCAATAAACAAGTTTCGAAATCAGATATCTCTTTTTTTCGTCTTTCTCTGTACACATCATTTACTGATGATCGGAAAAGGGAAGGCAGGAATGCGTTGGGTTTCTCATTCCTCACCCAATTTCGTTTCCCTATTCTCTCGTCTTCTCATGATTAGAATTTAGTACGATGGAGGGGGCTATGTTAAAGTGACAAAGATATGATATGACTGAATGAGGGTGTTTTCTAAAGTAGCTGCGATGTTTTGGGAATGTTAGGAATCCAATGGCTTAAACGATGAATTGAGAATGAATAACGCTAAAATTCGGCTGGTGTTTGGGATTTCTGTGAAAAATAAAAAATTTAATTTGAAGTTTTAACCTCAGGCTGTCAAAACTTTAATGTCTAGGACTCCATTTTTTTGAACATCGCGAAAATTCGGAATTCATTGATATTGGAACTTTGGAGCTTCAGAGTTGGTTGATACCAAAAGTATGAAGTTGTAATCATTATCAAATGTCTGTTAATATACGGTACCAGGCACTAAAAATGTAGTCCAGAATTTTTTTTAATTGTTCCAAAATTTTATAATACACTTCAAAATTAGATTTTTGATTTAGCAATTGTAGGTTTTGCAAATCTTTTTGAGCAAGATGAAAAGGTTCAAAACCGCGGTATTTTTAAATTTCAGTGCTAATTTTGACCTTTTTTGTTACAAACGGCATAGCTCATCAATATGGAATTTGGGAAAAAAGTTGTCAATCACAAACAAGAAGCTCTCATTTTGTTTAGTATGCTCTGAACTTTTCAGACAATTTCAAAACTTCTGCTTTATATTTACTGGGTTAATACTAAAACTAGACACTTCTTTCAAGATTCTATGATTTCCAGACCGAAGATTTCAACCACCCACTGTTTCAGAGTTCCCGAATTTCTGATACTTACACTCAAATTTCCATGTCCTGCTTGGGAAGTGTTTACAGAAAACCTCAATTCTTGTCCAACTAATCCGACATCAAGACCATATACATTAACAAGACCAGAATCGAACACCTGAAAGTACCAATCATCTCATAATTCATCGATTATCATTCGATGATAAACCTGGCATGCGAACGGGCTTCCTCGAATGTGTTCGCCGTCGTACAGGATGCCGATTCTCCATAGTCCTGAAAACAAAACATCTCATTTCCCTCGTTTCCATCTCCGCCCGATTTCAGTCCATCTTGTTGATTAAATAGATTGGAAGATCGAGAGGAAAAATGGTTCTTCTTTGATCACTATCTCGTTGTCCTGGACTCGGTTTATTATACGGGAAAAAGACGGGAAAGCGAAAGAAAGAGGGTTACGTTCATATTGGCCCCTATTGGTACCGGCGTGGTGTCATCAAAAGATACGACCCCCCGATTTTCGACGACCGCAAGATGTTACGAATTGATAAGATGGTCCCTTTCGACTAGCGAACGTATATAACATTAAGAACATACCGACTTCCTGAGGGGTGAATGTGGCCATGTAGGTGTTGTTCTGATGTCGGACAGTGCATGGATGAACTGTTCCAGATGGTGACACAGCTTCAACGTAAACTGATCCAGACACTGCGTCTCCATGAGCGTTGATCTACAAGTTATTATGTTCTCTAGTTTCTACTAGTTGATATGAGCAATCTCACCACAACTTCCACAATGGACCCAACTGAGCATGGCTCTGAAAGTCCTGAGAACGAAACGAGTCCAACATCGGGCGATCTTGTCAACGGCATTTCTCTGTATGCAGATGCTTCCAGAACAGCTGGGATTGGTGGTGCTGGTGGAATATGAGAGCTATTTTGTGCTGAAGTAGGCGGTGGCGGTGGTGTAGGCTGGAAAACGTGATATGATAAAAAATTGATATGGTGGTACAATGTATGTTGTTCGTAATCTGATACAGAAGCGCAAAAATGGAAAGTAAATAAATACCTTGTTAAAAAATTCCGTAACTAAAAATTATTTTTTGAAACAAGCTTCAAAGAAACCAAAAAAAAACACAATTTCTTGCTTTTTATACGTTTCAGTCAACTTATGTCTACCTTACATCACGAGCTTTTACTGAAAAATTTCAAAAATTCATTTTAGATTAAAATCAAAATTATACGATTCTTGCAAAAAGCGCTGTTGACTATTTTCAAAAAAAAAACTTAAATTATAAAATTGCTCCAAATTCATATAGTTTTGATTTCGACATTTTCTGACAGAATTCATTATTTGAGGATTCGGATGTCTACCGTATTTCCTTTAATAGAAGCTCATGGGCTTCTATTTTTCAGCATCTCTCTCAGGGTGGGCTTCTATTAGAGGTGGGCTTCAATTGGAGGGTGGGCTTCTATTTTTCAATGATTTATTTTCAAAAAACATTGTATTCGAAGATTTAGAAATTTGACAATTTGGAAGATAAGACTTCTAAGATTCAGTGTTTTGAAGAACTCGAAATTTTCATTCTGCAAAAATTAGAAAATTCAGAAATTGAGAAATTGTCGAGGTCTAATATCACAGTTCTGAAAATTCTGGAATTTTGGAATTACCGTATTTTCTCTAATAGAAGCCCATGGGCTTTTACTATTCGAAGCACCTTGCTGGGTGTGCTTCTAGCAGAGCTTCAATTAGAGATGGGTATTTATTAGAGGGAATACGGTATATTTATGCAATGATTTACGATACCGGATTGAAAAATCATATTTCGAATTTTTAAATGGAAGATAATCAACTTCGAAGTCATAAAAAATTAGTCCAGAATTTTTGGATTTTGATATTTTTAGAGTATACTTAAAATAATATTTCCACATTTCTGCCAAAGTCCATTCTAAGGAAATAAGCGATCTGTGACTTTAAAAAAATGACTAAAATTAGCACTGAAACTCGTTTCGTTGGATTTGTACGAAAATATTCTCTATTTCAAAACTAGAGCTTAAAACTTGTTCAGTACTTTCTGAAACTTTCAGACAAATGGGAAAATTCTAGACTACTTTTTTGGGACTTCCACGTTGACAATCCTCTACTAAACTAGACAAATCATGGTACCTTATTGTACAAAACTTAGGATGCTTTTATTAAAAACAATGAACTAATAGATGAAATGATCTTTTCACGCTAGTTAACCAAAGTTTTCTTAAGATATTACAACTAATCAAAGGAGGGGGAACCGTTCAATGCGACACTGACGAAAATCGAAAGTAACAAACAGTGTCACGCGCGCGAAGGTTTCCGTTTTTTTTATAACCATCACACCCTCGGTTATTCTACCTCCACCTTCTCTTTTCATGCCAAAGTTTTACTAACTAACCAGCACAACTTGAACTATCGACGGTGACTGCTGGTGAGGTTGTGGCTGATGATGTTGTTGTTGTTGCTGAGGTTGATGATGTGATTTTGTCTGAAATGAAACATTCAGAAAGGACGAAACTGGGCTGTTCATCAAGTGATTGGCTTGCGACAGAAGAGATTGAAAAAAAAAACAACGATTTACAAAAAGAAGACGATATCAACATTCCACTATCTGAACTGTTCCCTATTATCAATTTAACACATACACGTCCTTCTGGCCAGGTGCCAAGTTTCATCCACCCTACTCCTCCTCAAATAAATAAAACTTAATGGATCAAGATGAATTACGCAGATACACCCTGAAGGGGTTTGGATGCGAACCAAATGAATGGTGATATCAATTTCAAGGTTACTAAACAGTTCCAAATAAAAAACTAGTAGTCCCCCGAATTCCTCTCACCTGCGCAATATGATTGACGTGTTGCGCTTCAAGCTGTTTGATAATATGGAGACGTCGTTGCGCGAATGATTTGTGTGATATGTCCACCTGCAAAACAATAAAAAATATTTGTGAAATTGGTTGTTGCGAGAGGAGACGTTCGAAAATGTCATATAAAGATTAATAATTAAGAAATATGTTGTTATTTTCATTCCGCACGATCTCCTGCAAAAATTTTTTTTGTAGATTAAATTTGGTTCAAAGCAAAGTTTGATCTACTATTAAAATTTTAGGCTCGTCAGGTCTGAAGCACAATTTGAAAAATTATTGTCCATTTTTCCAAACCGTTGCTGTGGTACTTTGTCAAACTACAGGTTTCAGTTGATTTTCGGCCATTTGGACCATTTTTTAGAACTCTGGAGCTCGGCTTTCAAGTTGCCTTTCTTTTTAAGAAAATTCAAAGCTTTAAAATAGGCATGTAATGAAAATTTCCTAGTTTTTCAGCTATTTACCGATTTCAGAACAACACCTTTTTCATTACAGAGAAGGCCCAAAAAAAAGATGTCTTTCAGAAATCGGCCAATAGCGTAAAAACAAGGAGCATTTAAAAAATTCTGTGAACGCAAAATTTTCAATCTGGGTCTGTTTTACACCATTGAAAACTTTCAAAATGATCGGAACGTTGACAATAAACATACTGCTGAAAATGGTCAAAATGGTCAACAATGAACTGAAAAAATACATCTTGTATACTTTATTAACCGGTATTTTAGGTATTTTTCAAAGAGGAAGTGTTTTTAAAACCATATCTACTTACCTCAGTTTCAGACGAGATTTGCGCAACTTTTCCTGCTTCTTGCTTTGGCGCACGCACTGGCGATACTGTAGTTCTCACAGTCGACGTTGATGTTGTTGCTCCAGGATTTCTATTTTCCGGATGAGCACGAGACGCTGCTCTCGAAGTGCTCCGTGTCTCTTCCTGGGTGTGAACTTGTAATTGGATAGGGCTCGCTGGTAGTTCGGAGCCCTGACAGTAGATACGAACCTGGAATATGAAAATTGTTTTAATGAAAAGGAATACTGTGTAATTAATATCGCAATATGAAATTATTTGTAGAAACAACACAAAAACTATTTCGAATCGCATTTTCTTCCTGCCCTAATTAGATCAATCACTTTCCGAGATGAAGTTGATGATATCGGTTTGTGTATTGCAACATAACTTGGAAGAGAGAATGCGTGTGGTTAATCAGTTTATCTTCTAAACGATTTGACATGACTATCATTTGATATTAGAGTCTAGTGATTTGAGTTCAAATACTTTGAAAAAAATTGTATTCAACGAACAAAATCTATTTGAATCCTTCTTTTTGATAAAAAAGAACCTAATAAATACTATTGTTTCCTGTTTGAGAAAAAAGAGTAGTAAATAATAGAAACAACATGTCATTTGAAGGTCGCGCTGGCAAACAACAAGAATCAGAATCACTTACAGTATGATAGAATCTGGATTGAATTTTTTGACGGATACTCTCATAGCCTACAGTTTCAGACATCTTGTTAGGTATACTAAACCTCTTGTAAACGATCCTTAGAAGTGAGATACAATTTTTTAAGTCGGCGAAAGGGGAAAAAACTTTTAGCAATTATCGCTTTCCGAAATTTATGCATCCATCTCTCTTGCTAAATGTCCAGAAAAATACATGTCCAGAAAAAGGTAATTGCGTTAGTCGGATGGGCTAGAACGCGACACCACCGGATTCACGTGTACACAATAACATTATTCGGCACCCGTACGCGCATAATGTTGCGGTAAGAGGAGACAGAGGAGATGCAACGAAGAAGAATCGAACGCATGCCTGACGACGGAGGTCAAGGAGAGAAGAGACAGATATCGAAAGGTGGTGTAGGGGGGTTTAGTAGTGTTGAATGCGACAAACCGTAAGCGGAAACCCGAATTGGAGGAGGGATGGCTTGTGAAGTTTTGAAAGAATCGGGCCCCGAAATTTATAACTCACTTCTACAGACAGCATTGGTGGCAGTGAACGGAAACTAACCGACATGGCAAGTAGGGGAATGGGGAAAAATGGATGAAGTGAAAGCGTAAACGGTGTGTATTGTGGAGTGCAAGCGGATTTTAGAACGGAAAAAAAGGGATTTGTTGTGTTTTTTGTTTTGGAGTAAATAAATACGTAGTTGTTTGGTGTTCACAAAAATAATGAGATAACTGTCGGTTTATAGGAATACTATAAATATTTAGATTTCTGCAATCTTTGGCACGTTTTACGATCGAAGTTGAATCTTTTGTTGTTTTTCTTCACCTTGTTCTAGTTTTAAAACCGATTTTTGATTTTCACAACATTTTAATACGGTTTTAACAACTTTTGAATGCTCTCAACTAAGGCTTCCATTTCGGTCGGTCGAAAATCGCCGACCGCCGACCGGCCACCGACCCAGCCGACCGACAGCCGACCGAGCTGACCGATCGGGCGGCGCGCCGACCGATTTTGTGCCTTTGCGCATAAAAACACGAATTTTTGCGTACGAAGCACTTTATTTTACGACAAACGAGGCTTTTAGTGAGTAGTTTGTCGTAAAATACAATGCAGCGTATGCAAACACGTTGACGCGCAAATGCACGAAAACGGTCGGCGCGCCGACCGATCGGTCAGTTTGGTCGGCTGTCGGTCGGTCGGCTAATTTCCCGACCGAATGAAAGCCTTACTCTCAACAGCCTAAAAACGGTCTAAAAATAGTATTTGAACATTTGCCACTAGGTCGATATAAACTCGTGTCGTGAAATTAAGTAAATTTGAACACCACCAACCCAAATGTGAAATTTCTTGATAATGAGCAAAAACTTCATTTTCTTGGTATTTAGGAAATATTTAATCAGTTAAGGGCAAATTTTTGGGTGTAAAAACATCGAGTTTTCTGCCGAAAATTTCAAAACTCAATTATTTGGGTTTTCAAGGATGTTTCGACAGTCTTAAAGCTTACTTTGAAGTGAAACAATTCCCGAAGTTCAATTAAAATTACCAAAAATTAATCAATAACTATCCTAATTTTTTTAAATTGATATAAAACACACAAAGTTCTTTCTCAAATGTCGAAAAAATCAAATTTTATGATACGTCACTTTTAATTAAATCGTTAAATTGGTTATGATCAGAGAATAATATGAAATCTGCTTTCAAAAATTGCCTCAGAAAGTAATTTTAGCAAAACCAACTTGTACTAAAAATAATCAGTCAAACTTGAAGGCCAAGCCGTCTACTCCATCCTCTCCTTCTCCTAATTCAAACTTTTTTCTAATATTAACAATTTTTGCTATTTGTGACTCAGTCTCTTCCTATCGGTCCGCCGCAATCTTTTGTAGAAATCTAACGAGGCCAGCGCCCATACTACTACAGAACAATACGTGGTTGTATCTAATTAGCAATCCAGCACACGACATACCTCTACTCGGGTTTTGACTTTGAGTCGCATAGTTTTTCAGTGGATCCAGAAAAAATGAAGTGAATAAAATAAAATGAAATCGAATAGATAACTACCAAAACGGTGACACGTTGTGGAAATAGAGTGGCTGTGGTATCGTTTCGTTGATTGTTTTTTCCGGAAAAAAAAGTGTCATCAGTTTTATACTGTGTATTTTCTCACATATTGTATGGGGTGCCAGAATGGTTTCAAAACGCGTGCAGAGATAGTGTGCCTAGTAGGGAGAGTTTAAAGGAAGTTGGACAATAAAACGATGAATATCGTTCGTTTCTTGGTTATGTTGGGGTTTTCAGTTTTCAGTTCTCCAGCTGAATGGAAGGATGGGATGGTAAGAAAAATAAAACGAGAAGAAGGAACAAATAATCTTCGAGCAGCTGCTACCATTTTTAATATTTGATATGACTCGAAAAAAGTTTTCTAGATTTTTCTCTTCATCTAACCTGAAGAAATCCTTGCTCCACTGGAATCAAAGACAAGTTTGCTCCTTGGCTCGTTCGACTTTTTCTCAATTGAATTGCTTCGTTTGAATAAATTTCACCGGTAGACCCAACGACCTGCACATCTAACTCCTCAATTCGTACTTCGTTTCCAGAAGTGAACGCCAGATCTAGGTTGACCTGAAGAAGTAAAGATTTAGACATTTTCCAAATTCCATATTTTCTCTAATAGAAGCCCACCTCTAATAGAAGCCCATAGGGCTTCTATTAGAGAAAAATTCGAAATTCCAGAATGTTTAGAACTGTGAATTTAGAATTCGCGAATTTCTCGAATTTTTTTCTAACTTCTAAACTTCGGAATTTATGATTTTTAAAAATATTAAAATTTTTCTGCATTCCAAAATTTTCGAACTTTAGAATTTTGAGATCCTTTAATCTCAGAACTTCATAAATTTGGATTTTTGGAATTTTGAATTAAGAATGAAAACTTCGAATTCTCCAAAACACTTGAATTTCAAAAGTCTTTTCTTCCGAATCGTCAAATTTCTGACTTTTTGAATAAAATTGCTTTTGAAAATAAATCGTTGAAAAATAGAAGTCCACCCTCTAATTGAAGTCCACCCTAAGAAAGAGGTTGGAAAGTAGTTGCCTATGGGTTTATATTAGAGGAAATACGGTAAAATGAATAAAAAAAGCTAAAATAAGTTAGGCTACCTGTTGATTAACATAGCAATCAGTGTACTTCACTTGTTGTTCCAATGGAATTGAGCACAACGCGGCAACCAGAGCCATTGTACCTGAATATGGGCATACTCATAGTTTTCTAGTGAGTGATCAGACTTTTCAAATTTGGGAATTTTGTGAATTTAATTTTTCTAGATTTCCAGAAAAATTCTGAAGGTTTCACTAATATTTATGGGGAAATCATTCTGTCGGTTCGTTCAGTTCAAAACATTTTGCTTGAACAAATTTGAACACCTATTCGTTCTGTTTTTCTTGGTTTTTTGAAAGATCATGTACAATTTTGTGCAAAAAAGCGAAGAAAGTATATAGAAATTCATTGAAAAGTTACCTATATTTTCTATTTAAAGCCCACAATTATCTCGTTTTCCTAGAGTGATATTAAATTTTTGAGATTAAATAAATTATTTATCATAATATCATCAATATTTTATCAGTTGACACTTTTTTGATACATCTCATGCGAACCGAGATATTGGAGCTTGAAATTGACGGTTTTGTCAGAAAAAATAGGTGATTTCGAAAAAAAATTTTTTTTTGGAAATAATTGATAACAATTTCCAAAAAAAAAATTTACTGTAAAAATCTAGTTGCACTGTTCTTAACGTTGGTCTATTTTACTCACCCAGATGTTCTCCTTGAGGATCGGCAATGTCATCTGCGCCGATGAGCGATCCGACACCAATGTCTGCAGCTGCGTCGAGCACTGAAAGCGCATATTACTTTTTTTTTGTCAACAAAAGACCGAAAAAACTTACCAACTGCCACATTTTCAACAAAATCGTTCAAATTCTCAAATCGCATTCGTTCGATCTCGGGAACCGAGCCACCACACGCTTCCACTAGATGGGCGAGAAGGAAACCATCACTCCAGGAATGCTCGAGATCTTCGACGTTGCAGTCTGGCAGAAGCTGAAATAACGGGTTATTGAAGAATTGAAAACATCATTCAAGCTTACCAATGACACTTTTTTCAAAGTTGCTCTGTACCCTGGAGCACCTTTAGTTATGAAATATGACAAATACGTCAAGCAGGAGAGTTCATCTAGATGTGGAGATGACAAGTGATCAGAAGAAATGATTCCAGGGACTTCTAAGTATCGTTCAGCAAGTAATATAGCTCGGTGACAATTCTCTCGAGCTGCTGACGGATCTAAATTCCTCCATTCCGGGCACAACCCAGGCTGACAGTATTCAAGAAGAGCGCTTAGAGCAATTCCATCGTTCCAGTTTGTTCGGAAATTCGTGAGTTTCAGTTCAGGAAGAGCGCTCTGGAACAACCGAAACTATTGGAAAGCTCAGTTTGTGCATTCCTACCTGTATCCAAGCCATAACCAATTTCTTTGGAGGAATTTTTGTTTTACACGCGATTTGATACCTTTGAACCAGACACCAAATCAAGCCCAATATCAATTTCTCATTTCCATCTACAATATCATGACTTCCAATGTTTACTGTCTTCACACCATCTTCTCGAAGAGCATCCAGTGCCATTTGCACATTCATTAGTTTTTGAATTTCCGTTGGTTCTTGATCGTACACCTTTCCATAGTACCTTCGCCCCTGGAGGATTTCTACGAGTCTGATGAGATTCACACCATCCGATAAATCTTGGGTCAAGTCTTGTATCACATTTCCTTGTAGCTGAAATAGAATGTTTGCACATTTGAATTTTTCGTGGAATGCTAACATATATTACTAATCATTTGTCCAACCGATTATGTTCTAGGCTCCGGTCAACGGGGAGCATGCATGTTATCACAAGAGCGCCTCCCCGAGGCTCTATGAAAATTAAGGTGCGCAAAACTTTTGGCGGACGTGTACAAATACGGGTGACAGTTACCTAGGAAGTGAACAGAAGAAGGAGGGAAAACGAAAAGAGGGAAAACGCTCTTTTCCAAGTGGATTGGCAAATATGGGTAAACACTTTGGCAGGTATGGTACACACTAAAGTCGAATTTGTATAGTCAGTAAGAGGGAAAAGCGAGAATTACTAATTCTTCTAATGTTTCTAATTTGACTGCTACCTTTTCAAGTATTTATGAGTTGTGACAAGTGTTGTCAGAGGTGTACAACTGTATCATTTCAAACAAAAAAAGACTCAAAACTTCAAAAAAAAACACCAACCTGCTCATTTATCCAGTTTGTAAATGTGTGAAGTTGAATATCGATCCATTTCTGACGAGCCTCTTCTCCTTGCTTGCCCATTGCAGGACCCGAGATGGCAAACTATCGGCCTTTCTTATTTTATAAAACCAAATCGCTGAAATCACATGTGGTGAGTGGTGGACACGAACACCTGCTGTGGACACATGGACGCCCTCGGACAGGTAACAAGAGAAAAAAGGCAATAAAAGTTGAGGGGGACTTTGTCACGGATTAGAAGATTTCAATAATAATGAGTGCTGACGAGGGATGCATGGGACAAAGAATGAATGACAAAGGAAGGAAGTGTGGAATTTATGATCAAAGACGAGAGGATAGGAAATCGTAAATTTGGATTTTTTATTCATGGAAATGAGAGTCAAAAGACACAAATTTCGAAATTAAAATATTCGATCAGAGTTTTGAAAGGAAAAAAAAAGTTTTTTTTTTCCAGAAAAAATATGCGTCTGAATAGCGTATTTTGTCTGATAGAAGCTCATCCAAACTGTCTATTTTGAGCTCACTTATCTTAAATCCTCTGAAAGATATCAAAAAAGTTTCAACTGATGAAATATTAGTGATACTATGATAAATAATTTATTAGTTGACAAATTTTTGATATCTTTCACAAGAATCGAGATAATTGCGCTCAAAGTTAACGGTTCGGCTTAGAAAGTTTATAGTAAAACGATGTAATGCTTTGGTTATAAAATCAAAATTGTAAAAATAATCAAACAACTTTTTTCAAAAAATTTTTTTACTAGTCAACGTTAGAAATTTAAATTTAAAAAAAAATATTTGAAAATTGCGAAAAACACATAAAAAGTCGAGTCAAAAATTTTGTATAACATCCGATTTTTGCACTTTTGCGCCTCGAGTGTACAAAAGAGTGATTTTGGCGTTTTTTTCAACTAGTCACTGCGGTCTAGGTAAGAGTTCTAAAGAGCCGTGAACACACGAACACAGTCAAAAAGCGAAAACACAGAAATGGGTAGCTGTAAGAAAAATATAGCAACACTCAGTGCCCTTCCGCCCTTAGATAAAGTATTTAAAAGTGAGAGACAAGTAAATAAAAAGTCGGGTACTAAGGGTAAGTGTGAGAGAGAGAAGAGTCCGAAATCGTGATTAGAGAAACGGACGGTAGGGGAAGCTCAAAGGGAAAAGCTCGCGAGACGCAGATAAGCAAAGCGATCGGAGGGAAGATAGGCAAATACGTCGAACGGGCGATGATGGTGGCGAGAGCCAACGCGGGAAAAACGGAATGGGTGGAAAAGACTGTTCGTCTTCTGTGATCAGGCTCACGAAACGAGCTCAAACATGCGCAACGCGCCGAGCCACAATGGGGGGGGGGGGGGTGGCTGAAAAGCTTGATGTGTTTATGTTTGTGTGTGTTCATGCTGGTGACGAGGGATGGATTTGCTTTTGTATTGACATTCACCGAAAAATGTTGCCGTTTTTTCATTTATGAATATTGGCGCTTGTTCGTAACAGATGCCTGCTGTGAAATGTGTCAAAATTAACGGACTCATCGGGTGCATGGCTACTCGAGCATGTTTTTTGCTCTTTCCGAGCCTGCGCGCGGTCAATCCGGATATCAGTATTGGGATCAATTGATCATAGCACAAGACTAGTTCAAGATGAGGGTGCAATCAGGGGTGTGCGGAATGGTTTTTTTTTTGAAACTTTGGAGTACCACAAGTTTTGAAACTGTAATTTTGAAATTTTGTATTTTTCTGATTTTCCAAAACTTGGAAATTCTACATTTTCGGAACTTTCAAAGGTAAATGAACGAAATTTTTAAAATGGAAGATATGGTTTTTTTTCAGAATTCTAAAAATCATATCCTGAATATTTACAATCTAAAAAAAATTCCAGTCCGAATTTGATTCGAAATTCTGTTCCGCACACCCTCCGGTTCAATTAAAACTCAACTTACCAACCAGAGTTGCACGAACTGTTCATAGTCCATAGTATGTGGTCCGTGGTTTGTTGTCCGCTTTATGTGGAATCAATTTTTGTCCATTTCCTGCTGTCCACCGTCTGTCCGTTGCCTCTACAAAATTTTTTTTCACTGTCCGTGCATCTCTGTGATCAACTTACTCTGACAAAATTACCAGATGGTTCTGGAAATCCAAAATGTGCTATATTCAAAAATATTAAACGGAAAGTTCCGCGAACAGCTAACCAAAATTGAAAATTACAATAGTTTTGGACCACATAAATTTATTGGATTATTAAAAAATGAAACTCTTGAGACGGCATAACGACAGGAAAAATGCATTTTTGGATTATTGGGCAAACGTGGAACAATTGAAGGAATCGTATGGGCTTCTTGAAGGGCAATGAAATGCATTAGGGGATAATTTGGTTTCAACCGATGGGAAAGTGAAAACTCGGAAAAGATAAGGCATTTTCGGGATAAAACTTTGAAATGTGTTTTGACAAAAAATGTGTTTGGTTGATGTGGGTAGGAAACTGAAATATCAGATTGTGTTTGGAAAACTGGGGAATTGAAAAGATCGGGAGAAGAATAGGGGATCGATACACGAAAAATCGATTAAGGCATGTTTTGGAATATCAGTATTGTCATAGTTAAAATAACATGGGAAAAGAAATTTCATGAAATAATATTGGGAATGGGAGATTTAAAAAAAAGGATCAGATTGTGATGGAAATAAGAATTGAGAGTAGAAAAGGATGTCAAGTGAGTTGTGTGAGGTGAAAAAGGTTCCCGTTTCTTATGTAATAGTTGAAATTATTCAAGCGAAGCCATCAATGAAACCTAAAGACTTCTAGGAAAACTAATCTGAGCTGATAAAATACCCAAAAATCACACGAAATACACCCAAAACTTCTCAAACGTTACAACTACACGATAAATCTTATCAATTTGATGATAATTAAAACAAGGGTAACGAGAAATGATTGAAGAATTAGGGACCTGACTAAGCTGGCAGCATTGTGACTGTCGAGGAACTGGAAAAGAGAAGTGAGCAAAAATAATTATCTGGGTGCATACAACACTTACTACTCTAATATTTGGCATTATGCTAGGATAGAAAAATTTTAATATCGGGATGGGACGCTAGTTTTGACACTATTGTGGAAAATACTCAAAAAGTACACAACACAAATTGGACAAATAATAGGAGCCAAACGAGAAAATAACATCAATCCTCTACCTCCTCATCAGCTTCATCTTCCTCATCCTCAGCTTCTTCTCCGATCACTTCAAAATACTGCACTCCATTTTCGTCATAAACAGCATAAGTGTCATCATCGACTTGCTCCGCTGGAATCAATTCTAGCTTTGGCCACGAAGCTTCTGGAGTCACCTCTGGAGCTGAAATTGTTTTGGCTGGACAAGTACGAGAGGTATGTGGAACCGAAACCGAACGAAAATTCCAAAAATTTCGAGAATTGTCGAAAAATTCATAAACAAAGAAAAATCCAAAACAAACTTTTTTTTCACAAACCTTTGATACCCGGAAACGTAACGACTTACCAGGATCTTCGGACTCTCCTTCTCTCGATTCGTCCACCTCTCCATCCTGCTGAACGTCAGCTTCTTCTGCCGGTTCTTCGAAGTCTGACAAGTCATATGTAGTTGACGAAAATCGTTCTGGAAAAAGTCAAATTTGAAATAAGATTTTTAGTTTCTCAAATAACAGGTGTGCCAGAGATGAGCGGAATTCCTTATTCCTTCCACCGGATTTTCAAATTTTCTATTCCGCTCATCTGAGGTGTGCGGAATCGCTTTCAATTTTCAAACACTTCGAGACTTTTCTAAATACCGTAAAATCGGATCGTCCACTTTGAGCCTATATATCTCACTTCTTTTGAAAGATATCAAAAAGTAGTTAACTAGTAAAATGTTTATCAGGATATCAGCAACATTTTACTAGTTAGCCACTTTTTGATATCTTTCACAGAAAATGAGATATATGGGCTCAAAGTGGACGATCCGGGTGTCGTTCTATTAGAGGTTTTACGGTATTCAAAAAAAATTCCAAAAATTCCGAAAAAAGCTACTCCGCACACCTCTAAAATGTTCTTAATGTGGAAAACCACATGTTCTGAAAAACTTACTACGACTCCTTCTCAATTCTTCTCTTCTCAATTCCTCCTGAATTTCAACTTCTTCTGCTAACTCGTCTGCTTCCGAGATGGTTTCAAATATGGTGGATTGTGAGGAACGTCCTGAAAAAAACCAAATTGACACAAACATTTGGTTGGCCCAGTACCAATCAAATTCAAAATATTGAAAATTTGGAATTTTCATAAAAACTTGAAGATTCCGGAAAATTCATTCCACATACCCCTGATTCATTCTAAACCATTAAATCGAAATTCCTCTAAAAACTCACTGCGGCTGCTAACTAGGATTGGAGTCTCCTTTGTGGATCCTTCGTCTCCATCCATTTGACTGTGCTCTCCAGAAGATCCAGCTGCACCATTGTCAGTCGCCTCATCTTCACCTTCGGCTCCTTCGAATCGAATTTCATTTCCATTCTTTTTCACAAAATTTGGTTTCGTTTCAATTCGCTCGACATTGAATCCTTCCGGAAATTTATCGTTGAGAACAAGCTCAATTTCTGTGTCGGATAGCGCGCGTGAGGTGATTGCGGCGTGGAAGTTGTATTCGGCCGACTCTTGACATATATCTTCCCACATCGCATTCTCCGCAGTTTGTTCCGCAATCTTTTCGGCTTCCTTCTGCTCCTTCCGCATTTTCTTCTGAACTCTTTTTGCCCTTTTCTGGTCATGGAGCTTCTTTCTTTGCTGCTTGTCTTTCTCCTTCATCTCCTTCTCTTCTTGCTCACGACGAGCACGTTCTTTGGCGGTTTTCTCTTCATTCTCTTTCTGCTTCCGAATCCGTTCCGCTTCCTTTTTCATTTTTCGCTCCTCCTCCTCCCTTTTCTTCTTTTCCTTCTCATGTTTCTTGAAGCGTTCCTTTTCGAGCTTCTTCTCCAGAATCCTCTTCTGTTCTGCGTCTATTCTTGCTTTTTTCTCGGCAGCTTTCTTTTGGCGAATCTCCTCTGCGGTTGGTGAGTTTCCGACGGCGTTTGAGATGGTCTCCGGAGAAGAATTCGAGGTTGCTGGCTCAAGTTGTTCCTTATCCTTGACGTGCTCATCCTCATTCTCAATTTCTGGCACAGCTTCCGAGCGGAGAATCAAAGAACCAGCTTCGACAACCTCCTCGATTTGTGGCAGAGTGGATGATGGTTCCGGTTCCATGACTTTCGTGTCAGCAACGCATTGACAGACTTGCGACAGCTTTTCTGGCTCTGGTTGTCGAACGCAATTGAGCTTCAAAGCTGCAACTTCTTTTACCAAATGCTCTATTCTTCGCTCTATTTTTTCAAGTTTGCCCGTAGGCCCTTTTCTGATTCTCGCAGCCCTGTAACAACTTGTTTGATTGACAGTTTGAGAGTAATTACTCACAGTTCTCTGATCGTTTCTTCAGGATTCTCCTTGAATACACGTTCTGTACCCTTTTTTCCTGGGAAGAGAACTTCGTATTCGTTACCGACAATTTGCCGGTAAGAGGTGGGACCGAGTTCGGTCTGCACTGTTCTCACAGTCGATCTGGAAACAATGCTTTTTTAAAGGAAGTTTCTCCAGTTTTTTTTTTAAATTAGTGTCTTTCTCATATTTTATCAATAAGTGGTCAATTGACAAAATCTTTATTGCAATATGAAACATACTTTGTCAGTTGACCACTTCTTGAAATCTTTCAAACAATCCGTGGTAAATTGACTAAAAATTAAAAGTTAGGGGGGGGGTCAGTCTATTGGGGACAGATTTATGGCTAGAACTGAATGTTTTGTGTTGCTGAATTCAGCTGTTTGCTTTATAGCCTAAATACTTCTTGAAATTTTAAGCACTTCCCAGTTACTCCCCAACTCACTTCTGTGGTGGAGGAAGAGAATCCTGCTGTGTTTGTTGATGGTTCTGAAATCAACTACATATTCTTTAATTTCTGGAATTTTATTCACCTGTGGCGGTTGATGGTGGTGATATGGCATTGGATGAGGCATCATCGTTGAAGAATCCTGAGTACTTTATACAAATTAAAACTTAGAATGCTACAAACCTGGCCTTGATGATCTAGCAAGTGTCCGGAAACTGGCATTGAATGAGGCATGATTGTTGTAGGATCCTGATAATTTTTTAGAATCAATTGTTGAACAGTGCATCAAAGTAAGAATGCTACAAACCTGAACTTGCTGATATCCAGATGGCATCTGTCCGAGCTGTGGCATTGGATAGTGGACCATCGTGGACGGATCCTAAGAAATGTTTATAGATTGAAAATAAGAATGTTACAAACCGGTTGTAGCTGCTGATAACTCCACTGATAACCAGGTGGCAGGGGATGAGCTACCATTACAATTGGGTCCTAGAAATGTTTATAGAATCAATTGTTGAATAGAGCATCGAATTGGAAAGAATGTTACAAACCTGATAATACTGCTGTTGATGCTGCTGATGCTGCTGATAACTCGGCTGAAGGCCAGGTGGCATCGGTGGCAGGGGATGAGGTATCATCACAGTTTGATCCTAGAAATATTTAAAGAATCAATTGTTGAATAGAGCAAACTATGATTTGATTTTCGAAATATTCCTGCGTGTAAACGACTTACATAATATGGAGGTCCCAGTAATCCTGGCCGCTGATCGTAACTCGGATTCTGGTTCAGAGGTGGAGGTGGACGACTTGGATCGAAAGCAATCTGAGATGGAGCCGGATTTTCATTAAGAAATTTTGTAGAGTTTGCAGAACAACCTCATTTACCTTTCTTCGAGAAATTAAAACTATTCTTCCTTTGCTCAATTGTCTCGGTTCCAATCAGAGATATCAAAAATTGTTGAGCTATCATAATATTCATCATGATACATATTACTAAGACTTTTGTAGTTTCCAGGCAACTAAAATCTCTCACAGAAATTAAGACTATTGAGCTCAAAGGAAAAGTAAAAACCTCATTGAGTCATTCAATACTATTTTAAGGCTGATAACTCAGCTGCGACTGTCGTCTTTTGAGCGAAATTAGCTGCACTACCGTCTTTCAAGCGAACATGGGCGCCTTTTGAGCAAAATTAGAGCGCCGCCACCTTTTGAGCGAGCTTCGGCGTCTTCTCGGCAATTGAAAAATTTTAGGCGAACCCAATGCGAAGGTAGAACCTGGTAGGTGAACCCTAAGCGAAGCCAGCCAGCTTTTGAGCGCTGTTCGGGCACCTTCTGGGAAAATCCCTCGCGAAATCTGGACAACCAGCGCCCAAAAGACGACAGTCGCATCCAAGAAGTTTGACTTTAACTCATCCCATCTGGAGTAGGTGCAACTTACATTTGGTGGTGGTGGTCGTCCCGAATTCGGAGGTTGCGGAGCTGGATATGATTTTTTGTATCCTTTGCCCATCTGAAAATGAACATAAATATTTTTTATAAACTGATCATTTGAAAAGTTCATTCAGCCATCATAACATAGAGAGAGAGAGAGAGAGAGAGAGAGAGAGAGAGAGAGAGGGAGAGAGAGGGGGGGGGGGAGAAAACAAGAAGCAATTTTTCATGTCAAGGGTTTCAATGCGAGTTGCCAGGCGATTTCAAGGTCTTTGAAAAGAAAAGTTTCAAAGTTCTACAAATCTCAAAACTGACTGAGCAAGAGATGTGAAGACTGGGTGGTGGAAACTGTTTTTCTTCTGACTTCAGAAGACACAGTACTCCGAGTATGTCCGAGTATGCTCCACCTCAAAAATAAGTAACGAAAATGCTCCCGACTAACTGTTTGAAGTCTTTATGATTGTCATGCTCCGCTGTAGATGATACGATATACGCCACGAAACGGTCCGATCATCATTTAGAGTCACATTCTCTTCTTCTGTCAGATCGCCTTAGTTCGAACAATAGATGAACAAAATTTGAAGAAAGTAAGGAGAGGAAGAGGAGGACCAGTCAGCAAAACAAAAGGAATACTGTAACGACGGTGTCAACTTTGCATTGGAGCCAGTGCTCAGCTCAAAACGCAGCTTCTTATCCGTGGAAAATACGTTTCCAACAATTAAAATAATTTAACTCCGCGTATGTGACTCCTCAAACCAAATGACCAGGCGACACGGTCTACACCACGAGACCCAGGATTATGAGTCACTATCTTCTTTTCTTTCCAACCTCACTGATTCAAATAGCAGACGAAAGGGATACTGTAATGCGTCTAGAGGGAGAGCGAGAGATAGAGAGAGCGCCAGACAGGGGATGGGGAATGTGGGCGCCCGTCTCTCTTTTCACCACTACGATCCATCTGCTTGAATAATTACATCATAGATTGTTGAAAACAGAAAGAGAAAGCAGGGAGCCTAAAAAAGAGGTAGACGTCAGGAAAACAAGCGGGTGGGATACTGTAGGTGTCACACGACGCGAGAGAAAATAAAAGAGCACTAGACAAACGGTGATGTGGGCGACGCCCGCTACATCATGTGCTTGCAAACTTGCAAACAGGAAACATACTTGTTGACCTCTTCTAATCTTACAGCCACAATTCCGATCCTACAATGTCAATGGCATCCTGTGTGACGTTACTTCCTACCACTCAACCCAATCATCGGAAAAGGAATAAACCTGAGTCCAGAGCCAAATGCCCTATAACTGTGATGGCGACGAGAATATGAGCCGGTATCTTCTGTCTATCCGGGGAGAATCAGTTCACAGAGAGTGGCTTACGCCACGAAATGATCAAAATTTAAAATCACTATCTCTATTTCAATCCGATCATCTGGATTGAATATTGGATCGATACTACTGAAAAACGACAAGGGTAAGCAGGAAGACTGAGGAAGCCCACACGTGGCCGTTAGGGACAAAACGAAAAGAATACTGTATGATTTTGGCACAAAGCCAAATTTGTAGGCGGAGCGCGGTCACGTGAAAGGACTTCAATAAAGTTCAAATCGCGTAATGGAAAATAGAAAAGTGATGCATCCATAGATTGCATAATACTTATGTCTTTTTCGGCTTCTCTTTTATCCAGCAAGTTGTGGGAAACCGCAAGGAGGATATACGGAAGAAGGAATTATAGAAGAATTCAACTCTAAGTAGGCGATTCCTTGTGCCAAATGACCAGGCGACACGGTCTACACCACGAGACCCAAAATTCTGAGTCACTATCTTCTTTTCTCTCCAACCTCACTGATTCAAATAGTAGACGAAAGGGATACTGTAATGTGTCTAGAGGGCGAGCGAGAGATTGAGAGAGCACGAGACGAAAATGGGGAAGGGGGGCTCGTCCGTTTCACGGCATTGCGGAAGATAACCTCGATTTGAAGTTCGGCACCAAGCCAAGTTCAAACGCGTAGCGCGGTCGTGGTGCTCAAAATGCAAATTTTTCAGGTTCCCAACCGCATGGGAATGAAAACTTTGTATGGCGTAATAAGAAAGGAGAGAGGAAGAAGATGAAATTCAAAATTGCATAACTCGGAAAATTGAAGAGAAAGTTTTAACTATAAAAAGCGATTAATATACCAAATGACGAGAGGACACTATCTCAACCACGAGACGATCCGCGTTCTGAGTCACCATCCATAATCAGATCAATAAATTTGAAAAACCACGAGGGCCAAAAAGAAAATGAGAAAGAAAAACATACACTACAGTCAGAAAAAAAGCATCCTGTAGACGGTGCCGCATGGCGAGTGAGGGATGGAGAGAGCACCAGACAGAGAGCTCCGTCCATTTTGAAAATGTCTCAGTTTCCCAACCGCATGGGGATAAAAAGTTCGAATGGCGTAATGAGTATAGAGAGAAAAGGGAGATGCAATTCGAAAATTGCGTAATAATAATGTTTTTTCGGCTTCTCTACTCATGGGAAAATCGTGAGAAAGGGCAGAGAGGGGTACGGTAGTTCAGATGATGTTTGAAAAACATGAAGGCTGGAAAAGGAAAGTGGGAAAAGGGAGATTTTCATGTGAAGTTATTAGGTTTAAGTGAAACTTCTGATCAAAACATAAGATCGTAATCTTGCCAGAACTGGTCCGGCTCGAGACATCCAGCTCTCTTTTGTAACAATTACCGCAACGTTAATCTCCGAAAAGACGTCTGGCGGGAGAAGCAGGCGCGCTGCCCGACTGACTTCGTCGATTTTATGACACCTCTTCGTTGATTTATGATAAACACAGAAAGCCGACAAATTGTTTAGAGTATAAAAACCGGGAAGATGAAGAGACGTGCTTTGGTGCCAGATTTTCTAGATAGTAACTTGATACTAGGACATCTTGTCAGTGGTGTCATGGGCTTCGGAACTATTGCGAACCGTTAAGTAACAAAATTTTCCAAAATATGATCAGAGGAGAAACATCAGCACATATATGAAATACTTCAGGATAGACCTATCCATACTTGAAATTTCTGACAAACTTCTGTCTACTGCTGGATTAAATTTGATGATTTTCTAATTCAACGAGCGAAAGTAGGGAGACTGATGAAAATGCACACCAGAGACCGTAAAGTAAGAAAGGAGTGGAATACTGTAATGACCACGAGACAACCAGACTTCCGAGTCACTTTTATTGTTTTTTGAAAAAAACTAGAGGTGAGACGCAGACAGTGTAACAATAATCTCTCTGCGTCTCCACCGAATATGTGCTATTTAGGCTTGCCTCTTCGATATACATACCGTATAGAGACTGCAAAAAATACTCTCTTCTACTCTGATTTTTTCGGGCAACAATAATATCTTCTTTTCTGTCCAACCTCGCTTATTCAAATAGTAGACAAAGGTTATACTGTAATGACGGTGTTTCAGGGGGAGCTTTGAGAGATCACCAGACAAGGATGATGATGTGGGCGGCGGCCCATAGGCACATCATTGGGGAAGGTAACCCCGATTTGAAATCGGGCACCAAGCCAAGTTTGAATGCGCAGCGCGGTCGCGTCGCTGCTCCTAACAGGGCGAGTATAAGAGAGGAAGACGCGCACGCTAGGTCGTCAGGAAAAACAAAATGAACAGTGTTAAGACTTTGTCCAACGGCGTACAAGAGTTTGAGACAGCTCCAGGCAGAGGATTTGGGAGCCCGCCCCTTTTTACACCTTCGCAACCCATCTGCAATGGATACGCTTTATGGTATAGAACTTTGCCAAACTTCAAGATGCAAATTTCTACCACTGCGATGAATGAAGAATCGGAAAAAAATGAACTTAGATTTAGGGGCATAGATTCTAAAAAGCTGATACGTGTGTTTCTGACAAAACGACAAGCTTGAAAACAAAACCGGAGAAACCTTTGAAAATGACATTATTTTCATTTGCAGATAATAGGTTTCAGATAACTAAAAGCGTACTCCCAGTATGCATAGCTCGGAAAATTGAAAAAAAAAGCTTTCCTTATGAAAAACGATTAATACACCCAATGCCAAATGACGGAACGACACAATCCCAACCACGAGACGATCCGCATTTTGAGTCATCACCCATAATCAGATCAATAAATTTGAAAAACCACGAGGGCCAAAAAGAAAACGAGAAAGAAAAGCATACACGACAGTCAGAATAAAATGCATCCTGTAGACGGTTCCGCATGGCGAGTGAGAGATGGAGAGAGCACCAGATGCTCCGCCCATTTTATCAATTTCTACTAGACATCTTTGATGGATAATGTTGGTTGTATGGATGAAAAAAGAACAAAAATCGATTTCCTGAGAAAATCCTAGACTTCTTTATCTAGCAGATGGATCATGGTGGTAAGAAAAAAGCGGGAGCCCACATCTCCTCTCTGATGGCCAGTGCTCTCTCGATCCTCGGACCGGCTAAAAATGGAACAAATGATTGAGAAAGTCAATCTTACTGTACATTTCTGGCTCCTGCTTGCCAGTTTTTGAAATAAAAAAAAAGAACATTTATAAGTTTGTTTTGTCTAGCCTTGCATGATCCATCGGTCGGTTCAAAACGAGCTGTAAAAAAGGAAAATTGATGAGCAATCTCCGCAGATTTTTCCGTTTCAACAGTTCTCCCCAAAAGAACCATCCTCCAATTTTAATGCGCCGAGTCCCCCCCCCCCCCCCTTAAAATCAAAATGCACTTTTGGACTCTTCTATTTTTACTAGTGTTTTTTTTTCTTCCTCAAGTCACTTATACGAGACGCCATCCACCATCGCACTGTGCCTTTTTTCCATTATGACTCCCCAAGTTCACTACTCTTTAGTACTTTTCTTCTCCTTCTCACTCCACGAACACACTGCTGGGCCAAAAAGCACAACCAGAAGACAAAAAAGAAGAAGAAAAAAGAATGAGAACACCCACTCGCATTTCTTTTTTCCCCCAATAATAAAATTGATGATAAAAAAGGAGATGAGGGCATAAGGTGGGAAGGAGAGAGAGCTGATTGAGGCAAATAAAACATTAGACACAAACGAAACATAAAAGTTTCTGATAAAGAAGGTGGATTTAGGTAGATCACAATATCGTATTGTTCCTAATGAAAATCACGTTAAGCCCTATTATCTTGAGCCCTGTGAAAGATATCAAAACTTCGTCAACTGCAAAATTATTTATCACAGTGTCACCAATTTTTCATCTGTAGATAAATTTTGGATATCTCGCATAGGGCTCGAGATAATTGACTTCCAAATTTATGGTTTGGAGGGGTTTTTGTCAGAGCGAATTTGGAGATTTTCCAAGCAAGAAAGTAAGATTTTCAAGTTTCAAAAATTTTAATGATTGCCAAACTGTGTTCAATTAACACTTGTGCAGTTTTATCCATGAAGAACCAAGTAACCTTCTTCCGATATTTGACGGAGCTTGAGCAAAATTGAAAAGGTATTGAGTTACTGTATCGCACCAAAATCACTCATCAAAAATTTATTTCAACTGAATTTATCCGTTTGCACAGTGGTCCTCACCAGAATTTCAGATTTTTAGAGTGACTTTAAAAGACGGAACCTTCAGCTGAATTATAAAAGGATACGCGGGACGTCAGGTATTTCCTCCAACCACTTTTTTTTTACTGATCATTTTTAAAACATTGAAATTCCGAACAATTTATCGCCTAATAACAAATATCCTCTTTTTTCACACCGAGTAAGCCAAAATTATTGTAAATCAGTAAAATTTGATGAGTTTTTCACTTTTTTCTTTGTTCATAAACAAATGTTCATCATCTGAAAAAAATTAACACCCAACGATGCGGGACCGCATTTTTTTTCGGATTTCCAAACATTCTTTTTAAGTGTTTTGTTCGACTTCACAACTTTTAATTTAAAATATTTTGTTTCTGTTCGCGCACTTGTCTCTGTGTCTGCATTTTTGCGTGTCGGTGTTTACGGGCCAGAGATAATGAGAGGTCATCTTTCTTATTATGTGCATGCACTCTTATTAGTGTCTGATTCTCTTTCTTACCTGTATCTCTCGTTTCCTCATTCTGTTCTTAGCAGTGATGGGAGACGTTCGTTTTCTTGGGTATATTCTATTAAAGCACCCCGAAACATTTCAATATAACCCCTTGGCATAAACGTTGGAATACATCCCCACTCACCATTTTTCATGAACGGGGAGTGGAGAGTATACAAATGTTTTTCCAGTTTTTTTGCCTGAAGATCAAACGTACGCAACTAAATTATGCATAGAAAAAATCAGGTTTGATCGATTTTCTACCGGCATTTTGTTAGTTTTGTACAATTTTCGTGTATTTTCTTGAATTTATGTTTTCACGGAATCCGGAATGAAATTAATTTTCCGGAATCCGGAATACGGAATCCGGAATGAAAAAAAACCCGGAATCCGGAATTTAGGGTTTCTCCAAATGGGCGGAAAAGTTTTAAAAGCACATATCGTGCTTTATTTTTGCATTTTCAGTAGCGGAAGTTCAAAAAAGTCAGAGGATTTTTGAAAATTAACGAATATGCTTAAAGGAGGGCAGACAGCAAAAATTTCGGGGAAAATTTCAGGGAATGTGTATTTTGCCGTCGCGGTGTTTGCACCTATAGCACGCAATCCGACGCGCAAACATTTTTATTTTTTTATTTCCCGACTTTATTTTTTTCAATTTTTAACGACTTCAAACATTAAAAAAGCTCTTTTTTCTTATTTATTATAAATCCCATATAAAAGTGAATTTTTTTACGTAAATTTAAAGTTCTATCGACCGATTATTTTGCCAGTCGCCGGTGTTTTTTATAGGCATGCGAAAAAAACTATTTTCTCTTCGATAACCGTTTCTTCACTGTTCCTATTTATCTCATTACTTCTCGTTATTACTCTAGGAATAAAAAACTGTTTTATGACTAAGGTTTTCAGAGACGTCTCCATTTTTACTGCTTCCTTCACCTTCCGACGACCAGCTCTGCACGAGGATTGTTTTAATTATGTGGTTTTTTTTCAATTGTTATGTCTCTTTCTAAAAATTAATTGTAGTTTTTTTCATAATTTATTTGTTAACATAATAAAACACGTTTCTTCATTTTCAACTGATTTTGATACCTCGGAGCGAGGCCTCGGCGGCACGCTGGTAGCCCTTCAGAAATTCCGAGTTCAAAAAGTTCAATCCGAAGAAACAAGGGAAGAAAAAAGTAAAAACACCAGCAGGGATTGAACCTCTGACCTCCTGAATACTAGCCTAGAGCGTAACCACTACACTACGCGTGTAAGAGGCGACCATCGCGTTTTTCACATTATGAAGCGACGCCGCAGCAGCAAGCTATTGAAGAAATTAGGGTGACAAAAAAGAGCATTTTTTCGTCCTTGAAGTGTTTTTTTCAGGTTTTTAAGTACATAGCTATATTTATACTTCAGAGTTATATCTTTTCAGTAAAAATGAAAATTTTGAAATTTTTGATGTCTGGCCTCCTTTGAAATCCGGAATTAAAAATTCTCTCGGAATCCGAGATACGGCATCCGGACAAAAATTTTTTTCACGGAATCCGGAATCCGGACATCTCTGATATCTTAGTGTTTGATTTCTCTTGTTTTCCGGTTTTTCTCATGTTCTTTTTAGCACGTTATCACGCAAAAATTGGAAACACCTACATACTACCTTGTTTTCAGAAAAGCATGCCTTTCCCTACCCTGTCCGAGTTCGCTGCTAAATCAGTTGCTCAAGGAATTGTAAATGGTAATTCTCCTAATTATTTAATAGTTGTACAATTGATTTTGAATTTTCAGAGACTATATCGCTCGACTTCCGTTTGGATACAAAGTGCAGCAATGCGATTGTTCGAGAAATTTTCAACGAAGACAAAGTGTGTGGAGAAAACTACAGGAAACTAGAAGAGTACAAAAATCAATTATCCGTGACAAAAATTGATTTCCGCAAATATGACGTCGACACAGAAGCAGTTCTAAATTTGGCAAACTTCAATTTGGTCTCTTTGGATTTTGGAGAGATGTGGTTTCTGGAGATGGATTTTCCCGATCCCGAGTATGGTGAAGAATTCCTCGATATTGTGACTATGTTTGATCGATCGATGAATAATTATTCGAGAAGATCATTGATTCATTTGGGGATGGCATCAGATCAGGGATACATTAAAGGATGGGAAAAAGAGGTGGAGGACTTGTTTCAGTTGGCTCTGAAATTTATATATTTTTCAGGTTCGCAAAATTCTTCCAAACCTCTAAAGTATCGATATCAGTTGTCACACATTTGATGATGATCGATTCCAATTCCCAAGCTTTTGCGCTAGCTTCTCGAATCTTCGGGTTTTGGACATTTCCTATGTAAAAGGTCTATCAAGTCTTCATGGAATCAATAAGCTCGAAAATCTTCAAAATCTCTTGTTATGTCATGAAGATTTGGATAATATCAATGAATACAAAGAGTTATTTGAATTAAAGACTCTGAAGCATTTGGACGTCTCGAGTAACCATTTCAGTGACAACTGGTCAGAGACAGGTACGAATCCAATCAGAGATATGTTGGCAGCAGGAGTACGAATGGAAGCGCTAGAGTTTTTGGATTGCTCAACGACTGCTGTCACTGAGCATGAATTGGAGGAATTTGTGAAGAACCATTCGTCATTGCAAACGATTGCCGCGATTTGTAAGTTTCTTTAAAAATTTTATTGTAAATTCTCAATTTTGGAGAATTGTTAAATACGCCATTTGATTAGAATTTTCAGAAACATGTTCTTTTTTAAATTTAAAATTGATCTAAAAATGGCGATAAAATTTAATGATTATTCAGACCGAAATATAAATTTCAGTCCTTTCAATTCTATGTACATTAGAATTTCCATTTTTCTTGTATCGAATTTTCCAGGTACACCATGCAACCAATCTACAATTTCCGGAATGAAAATGCTCAATATGTTTTCAATGTCAGAATCTCTTGGGTATTTACTTCGGACAGATCGTAATACGCTGGTGTGCCATTTCATGAAAGACGTTTTCGAAACAGTAAAAGCTAATCTTACACATTTGGATGATTTCGACCTTTGTCGCGTCAAAAATGCACTACTTTTTGTGTTACGGGAGCCATTCGATCGAGAAACCAAAGTCACTACACTGGCACGTTATTTGGGCTCGGAACTATTTCAGTGAGTTAATCTAGAAAGTAATGACTCAGTTTGAATTTGGAATTTCTTCAAAAACAACTCGAAAAAAATCAAAAACTGATGCTAAATTTTGACTATTTTCTAATGACACCAGACTGGCTGACGATTATACATAGGGATCCTCGTTTGAAAATCAAAAGTTATCTTTAGTTGAATTTGGTAGTATTCTGAAGATCTTGTACAGCTCTACATTTCATTTTATGTTTTCATTGGAAAAATTTCAAGTTCGAACCGAGTTATGCTCCAGCTTGGGATTGGATCAGAAAAATTATCGTATTTTTATTTGCAGACATCAACTATCAACTTCACGGTTTCCTACCGACACTGCTGACATTATTGAAATGTTTTACAACGTCTTCAATAAACGTGATTTCTATACTAGTTGGCAAGACGAAACTGTCGAGTTAATGCTCGGAATGCTTGAAGCTACTGTGAACTCTGTGTCTCCAGGATTACTCATTCCCGACAGAGTTCTACATATTGTTTTTGAAAAGACCTTTGCCTTGGTCGATCAATTTCCGCAATATCAAACCAAAGGGAATGAGATTGTTCGTCAAGCTGTTAAATGGATGAGCTCGGAGCAAATTCAAAAAATGTCAGGAAACTCGGAGTTGGAGAGAAAAGTTCAAGAGATGATCAACTCCGCCTAATTTTTGTTTTTTGTTTCGTTCCCATTATATATTGTTCATATAAAGTTAATTAACCAGATAAAAAATTAATTAACCAGAAAAAACAACCTTTATATTTTCATAATCTGACTGAAATCACTACTTTTCTGAAACTTCTCGCCAAAAAAACGAGATTCATTTTTTTTCATACTTTCGACCGAGCCTTTGCCGGGTCTTCGCGAGATCTGCAATAGTTTCTTCCAGAATAAATATTTTCAGACCAACTGAATCAGACATGATAGAACTCGATGAGTGCTACAAAAGGACTTTATTTTTAAAAAAAAACTGTGTCTTGTCTATGAACAAAGTTACAGACAAAAAACAAAGGACCAGCCCAGGCGCACGCGACAAGGCCTGGCCACTTTATGACTTGTAACTTTGTTCATAGACAAGACACAGTTTTCGAAATAGTAGCATTTTCTAGCACTCGTCGAATTCTATCATATCTGATTTTTCTTTTTTTGTATTCCCATTTTTTGTCGATTCTGTCACTCTGAAACCCGATTAGAATCTGATGCTAATGAACTATATATTTGAAACAAAGTTTTTTTAAATTTATTTTTGATAATTTATTGGAAAAAAAACTGGAAAGAACGAGTGATAATTGCAGGAAAAACATGAGATGAATTAATACTAACTATTTGCTTTGATTTCATCGAGAGACATGATGAGACGAGGAGAGGGGCTTTGATCTGAACCGAGTGAGCAAACATGAAAAAAGTTTTTGATTGAAAAAAAAACAACTAGAATATTTTGAGTAATAAAAAAGAAGGGACAAACTGTGCTTTGAAACATTATAATTCAGTTTGAATAGATAAAATCACTGTTTTCCTTCAATGGAAAGATATCCTTCGAGCTGACGACGAAGTTCCATTTCGCTCTCGGCCATGAAGTTTCTCTCAGCTTCCTCTCCAACATCATCCAGTGGTGGCATCTCGAACTCCGGAGTTTCCGGAACAATGAAGTCGCCTCGGCTGACCTCTTCCAATTGACCCGACTTGAAAAGATAATCGCATGCCCAGACGAATTGAAGCTCGACACTGTCAAATTCTGGACTGTGTTGGATTCCGGACAAGAACGCGAGCTCTCCAGAAATCTGTCCAATTTTTTTGAAGATCACAGCGAAATGGGTGTCGAGAAGATTGTAAAGCGATCGAAGAACGTAGTCACGACTGTTTTTGTCATCGGTCTGAAAATCAAGTTGTTCTAGTGACTTTTTTATATTGGGACGGTCGTGATTATGTCATACGAGCCTCAGTAGCCCTACAAACAGTCTCTTTTTTCTTCCGATGTGGTTTTAGCTAGCGCTCAAGCTTTACGATAGTCTGGCTATCGAGCTAGGATAGGTCTGATAAGCTTCTACCGTTTTCAAAAAACGGAGTATTTTCATTGAAGACATAATAACTTCAGCTCCATTGCGAATTCTTCAAATCTTTAACTAAATCTGATCTGTAACTTATTCCGGCATACTTTGTTAAATTTTTTTATGTTTTGCTACTGTCGAGACGGTTTTGACCGATTTTAATGCTATAATATTTCATAACTACATCTGGGATTTTTGATAAATAGCTTTAAACGCACAAGGTTTATGGCAAAGCTTATAAAAACTTATATAAACTCATTTAAAATCAAAATTTCGAGACCTGGTATATGCTCTCAGGCGTCAGAATCCGTCAAAAAGTTCTGACTCATCTTTTAAAGGAATGCATCGCATCAAAATTGTGATTTCAACAGAAAATCCCATTCTGTTCGCGAGATTTTTTTTAGTTAATCTTACGGTATTTTGCCGTACACTCAAGTTTTTAGAAGGAAAACGTAATTTTTTCAGATGCATATGCACTCGGTTGGCATGAACGAATTTACTAAACGTGATTATTTCTCAATTTATTGAGTCCAATATCAGTTTCAGTTCAACGTGTGCTCGGAATAACACATCAGATATTTGCCCACAAGCGTAATACCTAAAAATATCGATTTTCCGACGGAAAAATAATGGAAACTCGTTTTTAGGTGGAACTCCGAGGCTTTTGAAAACTTTTCATGCTTTGTATGGCAAGTTTCGTCATATTTTCAAACCAAAAACTTACTTCTGGGATCATACGAAGACGCTTTTTGATGAATACTCTTGCCATAACTGCCTCTTCTAAAAAAATTATAAAATGGCAATTTTTTTCATTAAAAAATTATTCTTACTTCGTGGATCTTCCGGACTACCATGTGATTCACAACGGAGCTGAAGTGTTCCCAGTAAAAGATGTCCGCAGGCTTTGATTTGACCTGAAACTCGTTTCATAAGCGTTTCGTTGCGAATTTCCATGACAATTGTTCATTTTCCACATTATTTTCAAAATAAAAACTCACGGAGGCTCATAAACGGTGCATTAGCCTGCTCTGGAAGTTCATCGCTAGGATTTCCATCGATTTCTTCTACTATTGCCATTTTTGCAAGTCGTAATTCTTTGGAAATTGAGAAATGATAGCTGTGTCGGCGGGAGGCGAAATGAAATAGACACACATACTAAAGACACGCGACGCAGACGCATCGCGTACGTTTGCTGCTGCTGTAAATGAGAGGAAGACGTAAGTACGTGTCGACCGGCCGGCTGGCGGGTACCCGATAGTTCGGGAGGACGGAAAATATTGATTTACCACTGAAAAAGTGCCGAAAATTGAACTTTTGCATACAACGCATTCTATTTTTTCATTTCTTTCCAATTCCCATCATTATTCTAACTTGCCTGATTTGAAAAAAATTGGCTTTTCCCGGAAAGAACGGTCTCAAAACGGTATTGCCGGTCCCAACATCGGACCCGAGAATTGCGACAACGGTCTCATTGTTTCGACAACGGTCCCAATGTCCCGAAAACGGTCCCAACGTTCCGATAACGGTCCCAATGGTACGACAACGGTCCCCATAGGGCTTGCTCAAAAAACCTTATCCCCAAATTTTCGAATTCGGTGCCATTTTCTGCATGTCCTTACAGAAATAAAGGTGTTTCAGCCAATACGGACAAAACGGAACGATCTAGAACAGAATCCACTGAAAAATGTTAACATTTTGCTGATATTTAAGCACTTCAGTACTTTTTGACAGGCATTTTTTTTTCAGAAAATCACGTTTTTTAGTATTGCAGGCTCAGGCTAAAACTCCTATTTTCGGCATTAATATGAACAAGACGTTCCAGCCGAAGCTTATAACTTTGAACCAAATAACAAAATACTCTGAAAAGTTCCAGTGAAAAAATACCGAGATTCTCAATTATCAGCAAAGCCAATTTCGAGAATACGGTTTCCAGAGCAAGCCTGGTTGGGACCGTTCACGGAACAATGGGACCGTTGTAGGACCAGTGGGACCGTTATTGAACTATTGGGACCGGCGGTCCTATGATGGGACCGTTCTTCCCGGAAAAATAAAAAAATTGCGGCTGAAAAAAAGAGATCTTTATTACAGAGTAAAGCAGACAGAGAAAATATATTATTACGTACAGATTTTTTTACAAAGGCTCGGCATCGTCATAGCGGTTCAAGTTAGCCATTCAGGAGAAAATAAGTTTTGCGGGCGAATCAAATTGATCTGAGAACACACGGTATGTAAAGGGAAAAAAAATATTCAAACTAAAATTTAAAATGGCATCGGTACAATTTTAATAAAATGGAAGTTTAGCACGTATACACCGGTGCAAGAGGCTCCGAGAGTATATGACACCTAAATTAGGAGAGGGGGCAAAATCTAATGGCAAATTTTTAGAGAAAATAAATAAAAATAATTTAGGATTTGTTTTGGCAATTAGCACTCTTGAACGTATTCGGGATTGACGAATGAGAATCCCTCGAATTCGGTTTGATCCAGATTCATCAAGAAGAGACGATCGATTGGTGTAAGCTTCGGAACCTCGTGTGTGAATTCGGCATCGAAGTTGGAGGTGTCGTCGGCCGATTTCTGGAAAATTTAAAGTTTTCTGAGTATTTTGGGTGCATTTTTCTGTGAAAATCAAGTTTACTGTTGTTTTCTGTATCCTGAAATGTGCCAGAGTGCTGCTGATCTCACCATAATAAGCATGCATCATCGAGAAGAAGAGGACGGGGTGGAAACTACTCGGTGGGGGAAGAAACACGGTGTAAATACGACATACCTGGTTAGTGAGAACACCAAGAATTTCCACGACGAGGGTTATGAATCACATTGAATATCAAAAGTTAAAATTATATGTAAAGCACAATATTCACGATCTACTGAAAAAAAATGAGCCTAGTAATATTGAAAACGTGGTATTTTTATTTAAGAAAAGCTATTTTCAAAGAAAAAATGTTTAAAAGAAGCAAAGAGAGACAGAGATAGTGATAGAAAGAGAGGGAATGGCAACATTGTATTTTATCCATATATGATGGATATGAAGAAATGGGTGTGGATGAGAAGAATGAGAAAAATGAAAAAAGGAAAATAAATAGTACATAAAAAAGACAGAGAGAGAGAGAGAGAGAGACAGAAAAAAGAATGACTAGAAAAAATGTGACTGTTTCATCAGAAAACGGTTTCTAAAAAATTGCTTACTCTTGGTTTTGAAAGGAAAAATATTTGGTGAGAAAGAGAGAAAATTGCACAGTAAGCTGAAGGAACTAATTTTGCGTTGTGGAAGTTTTCTTTTTTGATTTGTTACAAGCTCTTTCTGGTAAGAACGGTCACAAAACGGGACGGTCCCGAGAATTGCGCCAATGGTACCATTGTTTCGACAACGGTCCCAATCAGGCTTGCTCGAAAAACCCATTTCCCAAATTTGAAATTCTCAATTATCGGCAAAACCAATTTTCCGAATAGGGTTCCCAAAGCAAGTCTGGTTGGGACCTTTGTCAAAACGTTGGGACCGTTCTCGGAACAATGGGACTGTTCTCGGACCAATGGAACCGTTATTGAACTATTAGGACCGTCGTCGAAGTTCGTTTGGGACAGGCGGTCCGGTGATGGGACCGGCGATCCCGTTTTGGAACCGTTCTTCCCGGACAGAGCCGAAAAAGAATGGGATAGAAAATATTAATTTTTGCGATTTTCGTTTTGAAAAAATGAAAAGCGAAGGAACCGAAATACAATTGAGAGATGTTAAAAATGGTTGTTAGTATACAAAACAGATGTATACACAAGATTTTCTCACTGTTCCACATCCTTGACGTAGTACGGATTGACGAATGAGAAGTTGATGAACTCGTCGCCCTTGAGATTTTCAAGCACTTCCCAGTCTGGCGGCGTCATCTTTGTCGGAAGTTTCAGGAAGTTGTGGTCAAAGTTTTCTGTTGATCTATCTGTCTTCTGAAATTATTCACAACGATAATAACATGCCAGGAGCTGACGGGGAAGAAAAATATGTGATTTTGAAGAAAGGTTAGTTTGCATTCCATAGACAAGCATGCGATGTTTTAAACTGTTAATGGAAGAATTTTAAAAATTCAAAAAAATTTTCATGCGAAACATGCCGAAAAGTGAGATTTTGGCTTTTTTGAACTTTCCATAGTGAAGCGATAGTTTTTGTAGAGACTTAGCAGATAGTGGAAAAATTAGAACTCATTGATTTGAAAGAAACAAATCCAGAAATCAAATCAAGAGAATTTAAGCAAAACTGTTATACCCAGCCCTGCGAGAAAAATCTGAAAATCAATTGTAACTTACCAGTTTTGGCTTAAACGGTGGTTGAATTTGACGCGTTTCAATTTTGAACCAATCGATTCGTCGGAAGAATGGATGCTCCTGAAATTTCAACTTTCACAAATTTTCTCAGGGATTACTGTACCTTGATATCTCTGCAAGCCAAATCATCATCTCCAGTGCATCCTAACCGCTTTGATGGGTTCTTAATGAGCAATGCTTTGCACAAAGACACTGCCTCCTTGGACAGACTTTTTGGATAAGACACATTGTGTTCAGTGATAGCTGAAAATTTTAAAATTGGCCCCTCTCTCTTCCCCTTCTCAACCTGTGAACAGCTCATCCTCATCCTCTCCATCAAATGGTGGTTGTCCAGCGAGCATCTCAAAGAGCAACACTCCATACGCCCACCAATCCACAGATTTGCCGTACGGCTGATACAAGATGATCTCCGGCGCGATGTAGTCCGGAGTTCCGCAGAATGTTTTGGTGGTGGCGTCACCGAAAATGTTCTCCTTGCACATGCCGAAATCAGTGATCTAAAAGAGGAATGTTTTCTTTTGGATGTATTCTTCTGGATGTATCCTTCTGGATGATTGATCCCGACAACCAACCTTAATATGCCCATCGCGTTCAAGCATGACGTTATCCAATTTCAAGTCTCGATAGATGATTCCTTTTGAGTGAAGGAAGAAAAGGCCGACGGCGATTTCAGCGGCATAGAAGACGGCGACTGGTTCCTTGAACTTCCCAACTTGCTGGATTTGATACATGAGATCTCCTCCGTTGACAAACTCCATGACAAAGTAGAGACGGTCCTGAAAGTACAATGTTCATCAAAAATCGCTTGGTCTGTGCTTCAAATTCATTTTTGCACTTTTAGCTCAATTATTTCAGTTCCAATAAAATATATCTGAAAATTGCATATACGAAAATGTTACTGATATACAGATAAACATTTTATCAGTTCACCAATTTTTGAAACCTCTCATAGGAACCGAGATAATTTAGCTCTAAGTTCAAATAGGAACTATCAAAATTTTTCCGATGTCTGAGCCTATTTCAAACTTCCTCCATCTTTTCCCCTCTAAAACAATTCCCCAGTCCATCTCCCCTACCATAGTCTGGAAGCACGAATGCAATGCGACAAGGAATGGTGGCTTCTCCGGAAGCGCGAGAACACGCTTCTCAGTCATTGTGCATTCCACGTCATCGTCTTGAATAATGACATCCTTCTTGAGCACTTTAATCGCGAAGAGCTCCTTGGTTGTTTTTTGCTCGCCAAGCAAAACTTTTCCGAACGATCCCTTTCCGAGGACAGTGAGGAAGTTGAAGTCGGAGGCCTTGATGACATCACGGTTGGTGTTGGTGAGCGACGTGGACGTGGCACGTGGAGTGGACTCTCGTGGCTTTCCAGCACTCGAATCACGGGAGATTTTCTGAAAAATCGAGAAATATTTTGGCAAGTTTAAGTTCAAAACTCACAAAGTTGTCGTTCATCTTCTTGCGAACCTTCTCCATATCCTCATCATATTCTGGAGTGATGTTGATGTTGTAGAATTCTCCTTCCTCGGCACTAAGCAGTTTGTACCATCCCGAAGCGGCTTCCTTCATGAGCTCGGAGATTCCAAATGATAAACTTCCCATAAAATCATTGCGAGAAGTACGATCCCAGTCCCACACTTCGATGGAGAGACGGCGATCCTTGTCTCCCGGGAGAAGTTTGCTAGAAAAGAAAGCGAATTTTCAAGTTTTGGGCTATTCACTTACTAGGTGAAGGTCTCATTCCACTGTGGGTTCAGAGTTGCTCGGAGAGTTTTGGTCTTCTGTTTGGATTTACATCCAGAATCTTCTGGGATCAGTTTGCACTTGACGTATGGATCAGAGAGTCCGTTAGGGTCCATTGGGATCAAATTTTTGGCTTCGAGAACTGAAATGAAAATATTAAAAAATGAAATTTTTAAAAATTCATAATCAGGAAGTTTTGATTTCTTAAAAATTGTTTCAGTACTCTCTGTGTGCATAGAATATTTTTTTCGGAGTTTCAGAGTTCAGAAAATTTCGGAAAAATTTGGAATTTTGGTCAACAGATTCTCGGATATTTCTGAACTTCCAGACATCCCCATCACGTTCCGCATATCTCCTGTCTTTCTACAAAAATGTTGTTTGGTACATGGTGCACCAAAAATCATAATCTATGAACACCGGATCCATTCCCCACCCCACCTTATTTCGGGACCCATTTCCAGCTAATTTCCGTTCCTTTCAAACTACTACTCACTTTTAATGGTTAATTGATCATTCTCAATGTGCGTCTCAATTCGAATTCTTCCTCGCTTCTCCGTATTGTCAGTTCCACACATATTTGGCACATTCTTGACGCACCGATGATGAACGTTTGTGTCACACGACTGACACTTCATTCCTTGATGAATTAAACCGTACAGAAGCGATCCACAATGATCACAGAACGTTGGCGATGAGTATGTTTGAACTTTCCATTTGTGTTGCTGGCGGGGATCCTGAAAAGTGTTAGAGATGGAAAAAAAAGAAGAGGAGAAATTATAAAATAAAGAAGAAGAGAAGATATAAACTCGTCAAGTTTACATACATCGGTATCCACTCCTTTATCGGCTCCCGGGCACGCAAAATTGACAAACTCGTGACATCTCTTGTGCACGACAAGAGTGCAAACTGGAAAAATGCGAATGGTTTAACATTTTTAAACTTTAAATTACTACTGTACCTTGGCACTGGAATCCCTGTTTAGTAATACCCCACAAAAAGTCCTTGCAATGCGAGCAGAACGTTGGCTGCTTGAAGAATCTCGCGATGAATTTGTGCGATCTGATAAGAATGTGTGGGTGATGAGAATGATGGCAACAAGTCAAAATGGTCATTTTTGGGGCAATGGGAAATTGGATTTTTTCTTCGGGATTTTTTTCTTAGCCGTTTTTTTCTTGCCCCATTCATTCTACATAAGGAAATGGAATTGAAATGAGTTCTAGCGAAAAAAAACGAGCCAAAGAAAAAAGAAGAAAAAAGAAAATGAAAAAAGTGGGCGAAAAAAGGACAGTTCGTCCCATTTTACGACCTCTTCCCCCTTAACGACTTTGCCCATATGACGAGACTCACTTGATTTCATGCACATTTTTCTGGCGAAGTGCTCCACGACGAACGAATGCTTTGCCTTCAATCCGTTGAGCTGAAACGAAGACAAACATGAGGAGGCAAAAAAATGAAACACACAGGAGGCTCCTACCACTGAGTTTTGCTCTCCAACTCGAGGCCCAATTATATCTCTCCCCCACCAATTTTTTTCTACATTTTGCTCTTTTTTCAATTGTTGGAAGTTTCGGAATGAAATGACTTTTTGGGACCACTCCTTCCGTGTCGTGAGGTCATTTTTTTTGCCCACAGGATGACAGATTTTCGAATAAGAATCAGAAGACAGACAAAGAAACACCTACAGATTTTCCGTCTTACACTCTTGACGATAGAAGATGCGCGTTTCATCCTTTAGTTCATTTTCAGGTGTTTTGTAGATCAAGAAAAATGGGTAGGGTAGAACAATTGGTAGAGGAATGAAAAGTTTTTTATCATGAAACACTGGGTCGTGACACATTTTTTTTTCGTCTTGTCTTGTTCATACCCTCTCTCTGTCATAAGACGGAGACGCTTTTGTCTTGGAGGTCCTCAGAAACTCTATTCAAGTGCTCTTTAATGGATTTTTGCACTTTTTGGTTGCCCAAAACCGTCTAACTTCTTTGACAGAACTGATATATACTTACCCTGTTCATGCAATCGTTTGAGTAATGGTCGAATACTTAGGTGATGGGAAAATTCGAATCTAGGAAAGTGAATAAAACTGGCCGACTCATGACCAGCATGAACTCTTAGACTTGACGGATTTGAGATGGATTTTCGAATACAAAGCTGTTGTCCACTACCACTAGCATCACTTGTCGTACTGTTTTTGACAGGACTGATAAGAGCGGCAGCGGACAAGGACTGCGGTTGAGGCACGTCCATCTGATGACGTTCCTACCCAAATTCAACCAATTGAGTTTCGGCTTTTTTGGTGTGTAAGTGAGAGTGAGTGGGAGTCTTTTTTGAAAGAGCAGCAGATGATAGCTAAATGAGTTAAAGGCCGTAGAGATGGGGCGGGAGAAGAGAAAAGCACTGGGGGTGTCTTTTCCTTTTTTCGGCAAAGGTCCCGAAACGAGATGAGGGGTGGGAGACGAAGCGACGACGACTCCTACCCTAGCAAATGAAAAGCCGAAGCCTGATGGCGTCGTTCTCCATGAAGAATAGAACAATTTGGGGTTGGTTGGAGAGGACCGCTGCCGTTTCACTCCTCATCAATTCCAAACACCCCCATTCCCAATTTCTTGCGTCTCATCTGTTTTTTTTTGTCTCGTGTGTGATTGACTCCGCCCACACAAGTCTAATTTGCATAGAGGAACTTCAGCGAGTTGGGGTTCGTTGAGAACCATTTTTAAAAGTTCGACTTTTTTTACGGAAAATCAATCTAGGTGAAAAGATCAATCGTCTTCAGAAAAGGGAAAAAACTAGTTACTAGAAAAGAAGATTGGTTGATGTTTGTTGCCGTTTAAACTAGACATTTTTGAGAGATAATTAACTTTGCAAGGAGGATGAAAACAACATTGTGTTCCAAAAAAGCGGAAATTGTTGGAATTTGGAATTTTTAGGTTTTCCAGAGATCAGGAAGCCCAAAAAGAAGGAACTGCTAGAATTTGAAAAAGTTTGGTTCCTGAGAAACGGAAAAGGATTACGGTAGTTTGCTTCCAAACTATTGTTTCCAATCTACCTGTAATCCAACATTTGTTTTTCAGAAATTTTTATAATTTTTAATTTTCAACATTGAGATCCTGGCTTTAATATGGCCAAAATATGATTTAGAGATTTTTATATTTTTCAGGTACTACAGGAAACGTTGCAAAATTTTCAAAAATCAACAATCAACAATTTACAGAGATCCTGATTTTTATCATCGAATTCTTGAAAACTTATATTTCCAAAAATTAACTTTTGAACACATCACTCTTTTTTCTATTTTTCAGATCAAAAAATGACGTCGGTGATTCTAGACAACTCTTCTAATTCAGCCAACAAATCGTTGAAAGATCATTGACAAACGGAAACTGGTTTTTTTGTCCTCTTATTCTGACCGTGACTTTTCTACTTTTCTTTCTAATACAAATTACATTTTTCAAAGTTTTTCCTATTTCCATCTTTTCCCAAAAAAGCTCATGAGCAAACATGGAGAGGGTCCGAAAAGTCACATGTAGTTTTTTCTCTTTTTTTTTTGTTTCATAAAGTTTTTTTAACGCTGACATCGAATGGTTTGGGGGCGAATGTCAACAGATTTTTCAATTAATGGGGAAGATAGGCATTCTAAATGAAATGAATCATTGATGGAATGTTTTTTTTTTTGGAAAAAAAAGAGAAAAAGGGAGATAGAAGGGTCCACAGATGGGAAGGTCCCAGTTAATTTGCACTTTTTTTGGGGCAGAGGGATTTTTTGGAAACAACAAGAGAAACCGAACTTTAGTTTAGGCCATAAAACTTGACAATGAAGTAGAAGAACACGAGAGAGACTCACCAAACGCTTCGGAGAGCTTACGAAGAGCCAGATTCGACTCGAGCATTGGATCGGAGGACAAGTCAAGACTCGGACGAGCATCCGCACTATTCCGAGGACCACCGCCGATATCGGTCTCGGATCGTCGACGCTCGGCACTATCCATTGGTTCGCGCTTTTTTGCCTTCCTTCACAAATGAAAATCTCACATTTTACGATGGTTTAATTAAAAGTCATGGGGTCGGGAATGGAATGGAATGCATACGCAAAAATAGAAAAAAATCGAAATTTAGGAGAGGGAATTGACATAGCTGAAATTTACCTGAGAATATGTGAAGTTAGTGAGAACTTGTGGGATTTCAGAAATACCGAAGTGGACGACGACTTGGATTTTGGACGAAGACTCATTTTGGGGAATAGAGATGAATAAGGAAAATAAATGTAGCGACGATTTTCTTTTTTTCAGAGAATAGAAAAATGGTTGTGACACTTCACGCACGCAGCTTCCTCTTTTTTCCTGGTTAGTTGTCAGAGGAAAAGCTCAGATTTGTGGCGGGTATCATATTGCCCAATTAAAAAGAGGCACACAAGTATCAAATCCGTGTCGGGGGAGCTCCGCCTCTCTCCTTCTCTGGAAAGAAAATCTGGGGGAGCTTATAAACACACACCTCGTGAAGAACGACGAGCAAAGCCGTTTTTTGCCTGCTTGTTCTCCACCCTTCTCTAGATGAGCTCAATTCGGTCTTGAGGTGCTTTTACGTGCTTCACACCTTCACCAGGGGAAAGGCATGCAATTGTGAAGAGCTTCTTTTTTCTGAATAAAAGAACGAGAAGAGAAGAAAGAGGGCTCAGAAAATGGAAAGAGACTCGGGATCAAGTTTCCAATGGCTTCTCTCTCATTATTTTTCTTGTCGTGTGTGCGCTTTTTTCCGGAATGGCACAAGGGCAAAACTTTTCAGCTGTTTTTTAGACCTTGTGGTATTTTCACAGCTCAAATGGAAATATATTTTCCTATAGAGTATCACGATTTCAGACAGATTCATTGGGAAGATATACGAATCTCGTATTCGTTAGGGTCAAATTAACGATAAGATGAATCTCTAGTTTTCAAATTTTGTCATATTTTTTTGTTCCAGTGAGAGTATTCAAAAGGGTATATTGCCTTTTGGATCAAAGTAAAAGATAATTTTACAGGTTTTGCTAAATTTTCATCAATACAGTGCAGTCGTATTTATCTCAGGTTCCAAATATTTTATTCTAACAAGGGAACCTTTTAAGTTGACCCTTTAATATGTCCCAACTAATTATACAGGATGAAAGAACATGTTTGAAAACCTATGTGACCGTTTTCAAAATCTGCTTGAGAAACTTCTGAAATGCTGAAATTTCTTCCGGTTTAAAATCGGCTATTTTCAAATTTGATTCTGTTCATTCCTAGGAAGTTTTTAAATTTAAAAATGTCTGTGTTATACTTAAAATTATCTGAAGTTTTATAATGTTACTTTTTTCTCAAAAAAATGTTTAAGACTGGAAACTTGAGGCGAAGTTTAAAGCTTTTCAAAAAAAATTCAAAAACAAAATTTTTGAGAGAATTGTTGAAATATAAAATGTCATATCATTTTATGTATAACACAAAAAATTACAAATTCTGAAACCTTCTAGAAGTGGAGAAAATCGAATTTGAAAATTGCCTATTTTACACCGGAAAAATGATTTTTTTGATACTGAAAAAGAAGTTCCAGCATTTTAGAGGTCAGCTTAAATGGTTCGGGGGTAAGCGCAAAGTTTTATACCTAGCTTAAAATTGAACGAAATGATAAGGCAGTACTGTATTTCCTCTACGAGGAGTCTAGCAAAACCATCAACTTTGAGCTCAATCATCTCGATTCCTTCGAAAGATATGTAAATGTTGTTAACTGATAAAATTTTTGTGATATTATTATAAATAATTCATTAGTTGGAAAGGTTTTGATACTTTCTACATAGACTGAGATGATTGAGTCCAAAGTTTACAATTTGCGTGAGCTTCTATTAAAGGAGATATGGTACCTGAAATTCAATTCTAACCACATTTTGATATCTCTCACAGAAATCACTCTAATAGAACGCCATCCGGACCGTCCACTTTGAGCCTAAATATCTCACTTCTTTTGAAAGATATCATCAAGTTGTCAACTAATAAAAAGTTTTTCATGATATCAGCAACATTATATTAGTTAACTACATTTTGATATCTCTCACAGAAAATGAGATACATGAGCTCACATTTGACGAATCGGGTGGCGTTCTATTAGAGTGTTTACGGTATATTTCTATTTTTCATTTCCAAAAACAAGGACGTAAAGATTTCTTTGTAGTGATTTTGTATTAGGAACGCCTCGAAAAAAAAATATAGATTTGTATCGTGCTTTACAATCTACAATCGAGCTCTGTTGTGCTCGTTCCTCGGATTGCGTTTCCCAGTTTCATCAGGAGCTAAAGCAGTCTAAAGTCCTCCAAACTTCCTACGAACATTTTCGGATCAGGATTATCTTCCTTCAAATGATCCTTCGAGATATTTCAGCACTTACGTGCATGCCCGGCATTATTAGAAAGTTCGATCCTCTTTTTTTGTTATTTTCGGCAATTAATAAGTAGGGAGAAAAAAGAAAGAGTGGGAAAAGCTTCCCAAAAAGAGATCATCCCGGATTTAGTGTTGGTGCAAGGAAACTGAAGAGTTTTGGTTTTAGATTCTGGATCTAACGGAAAAAATACTGGTACAAACTAAAAAATACGAAATTCAGGGATGGAATTTAAGCAGCTTCACAAGTTCTCAAATGAGAAATTCTGAATTGGAAATGAGCTTTTTACGGACAGAGATGTTCATAATTTGAACACACATATCTTCGGAATGAAGTGTAACGATTACAGTAATATGGGAATTGGTGAATGCGAAAAAATGAGCATGTTCCTCTGGAAAACAAGAAGAAGAAGTTTGACGAAAAATATGAATTTCAGTTTTTATTTTTCTGGAGAAAATAAAAAAAGACAAGAAGAAGAAGCCACATGAGAAGAAGAAGAAGAAGAAGCTGTTGACGGAAAGGGTGAGTAAAAAGTGAAGTATGAGAAGAGAAGAGTAAGGAAAGTAAAAGGCAACTAGGTTAGGCTCCTCTTCTAGCGGACTTCTGAGCACATGCTCAGGGGGTCCTACAATCAAATCACGACAGAATAAGAGATATAGAGCCAAAAGGATCCTTCTCTCCTGTCACTTCGACTCAAGATATTACGTAAAACCTCGATTTGTCAAGATGCAAAGAGGGGAAGAAAAGAGTACGAGTGTTTTTGAAACAAAAAAACTTGCGAACAGGAGGGGTGTGATAAAATTTCGATAAAACGAAAAATCCAGGTGAAAAGATTTCCGACATCTGCCGAAAAATTTGTTCGAAATAACACAAACTATAAAAATTGTATTGGAAATTTGGAGTCCGTGCCGTTTTAAATGCTTTTTTTTTCACTCCTCATACTGATTTTCACCTAGCAAATTTTTTTTTGTTCTTCTTTCTTCTCCACCTTCACATTTTTTTTTGTCTCCGTTTTGTAAATTTGTGCTTCTCATCTACCGATGGGAGGGATGACAACAAAGAGCGGACCACTTATTACAGCATATAGAAAGAGGGCAGTGAACCGGATGAACATTGAAAGGCTATTTTGTTGCTCTTTTCTTCCCCCCCGCAGATGAGCAACTTTTTTTCTTGTAAAGACCATATATTCCCGGGCAACTCATCATCATTGGATGCGCAAAGTTTTTATAGGCGATTCCCAGGAGAGCGACTTTTTTATGCGTTGTCCTTCTTTTTGGGGAAGTCCAGAAGTCTTTTCTGGGAATCAGATATTCTGGAATGAGGTTCTGACAGATTTCATTAATATTTGATTGAAAAACTTTGAATATTTTTTTTGAGAGTTCTGTAAGTTGTAATTAACATTTTTATTCTTGATGTAAGTTTTTAAAATTTCGAAAATAGCTGAAAGAGTAGTTTGATCCACCTTCATTTAAAGCCCACCTCTAATAGAAGAACACTCCGCAAGGTGCTCCAAAAAATAGAAGCCTATCCTCTAATAGAAGCCCATGGGCTTCTTTCAGAGAAAAACACGGTAATTCGAAATTCCAGAATTTTCGGAACTGTGATTTTAGAACTCGACAATTTCTCAATTTCTGCATTTTATAATTTCTAAGTTTCGGAATTTTAGATTTTCAGAATGTTAAAAATGTTTTACGGAATTCAAGAATTCCTAACTTCCAAATTTTGGAATCTAGACTTGCAGAATTAAATTTTTGAATTTTCCAAAACAGTGAATTTCGGAATTCTCAACTTCCGAATTGTCAAATTTCTGAATTTTTGAATAAAAAATGTATTGAAAATAAATTATTGAATAATAGAACCCCAGCCTCTAGTTGAAGCCCATCTCTAATAGAAGCCCATGGGCTTTTTTTTAAATAAGCAAGAATGTTTTCTGTTGTTTAAATTATCAATAATATTATTCGAAATTCTCTTCAAATGAGCTTTTAGCTGCCACCATATCTACTTTGAAATTTTCCAATAGTCGGAAACTTGATTCATCAACTCTTTCATGACTCATTTTATACCTATTCTATAGATACTAGACATTGTCGCTTCCAATCAAAAACACATCCAGATGATTTCCATCTCCCGCCTTTTTGTGCAAATTGTATTTGGCTTATGCTTCTACTTCTTTCCTTATTTTTTCCGTTTTATTCTCCTAGACGTATTCTTTTGCAAAAGTCTCGGATAAAGAATCCACTCGAAAAATCATCCTTCGTCGTTTTTTTTTGTTGCACAAAACGAAAAAAAAGTGTTTCACATTCTTATGATATCAGTCCATAAGTGTACAGATTAGACAGGGTGAAAAAGAGGGGGAGAGACGAAATGTTGTTTGCCTTCTTGACATTTTCAGCGTGAAGTATACACATACACACTCTATATTTGAAATTTTGAAAAAAAAATGGGAGAAAGTGTAAAAAAGTTGAAAAGGTTCAATAAAGTCTCAAATGTGCAACCAAAAATAGGGTTTCGGTTTTTGAGGTCCTTTTTGTTTTCCTATAGGCCTTCATAATCCTCGCAAGCCCTTCCCAAAACAAACGCTACCCATACATCTTGCCCCGGTGACATCTATCTGACAAATTATGAACGGAACCAAAGAAACACATCGCAAAAAGAGGAAGAAACAAAAAATGGATGGTTCCTCATGAGATGACTAGAAGCTCTCGCTATTTTCCTCCCAATTTTTTTGTCACTCTTGAAAGCCGTCGTCTTCCAGAATACAAATGAACGACATCTTCTTGTACATTTATATACAAAAAATGGGAATATGGATAACGAGAGGATAACAATTCAGGAAACCCATTATCAAAAATTTTCAAATCATGGAACAAACCTTCATCCTCCTTGACGGAGTTATTCGTGCTCAACGACATATTCGGCCTCTGCTGGCTTCTTTCGTCTGCGAAAAATAGAAATATTCAGAAGATGATGATATTGAGTAAAAGAGAACGAATCAATGAAAAGACATTGTAGTTAGAGTACAAAGTGGAAGAAGATACTAAAAAAGTGACTCTTTATTTGATGACGTTTTTAAAGATTTTTCAATGATTTCGCACTTTTTCTCAAAGCTCGAGTACGATTTTTTGAGAAGAAATAAAAGAATAATTACTATTTTATGAGATGTTGCCGATTTTTTCAAAAACAGTTGGAGGAAGTGAGAGGGTGCTAGAGAAACATATGAAATATTCGGAAGTTTTATTGTAAATGACACTTTTTTCCTAATCAGTTTTATGACGACACAAATGTTTACTGTCCAAAGTTTAGAGTGAACTTTTGAATTTATAAGGAAACGGCTCTAAAAACCTTTGAAATCTTTGATAAACTGCAAATACCGTAAACAATATAACAGAACGCCACCCGGACCGCCTTTTTCTGAGCCTATATATCTCACTTCTTCTAAATGATATCAAAAAGTTGTCAACTAATAAAAAGATATCAGCAACGTTTGATTAGTTAACCACATTTTGATATCTTTCACAAAAATTAGATAAATGGGCTCAAATTTGACGAATTGGGTGACGTTCCATCGGAGTGTTTACGGTAGTTTTTTAGCATTCATTCAATAAGAATTCTACAAAGTTCTAGTATTGAAATCAGCAAAAACGGAAGATCTTAACACTACAAACTCTGGAATGAGAAAGATAGAAAACACATTTCTAGTGAAATTCGGAATTATGTGCTGTTGGAATGTGCCTTCTGGTTTAAAAAAAGTTTAGATTTTCCGAAAGAAAAAGAGCTGGAGAACTTAAATAGGTTCTCAAATAAAATATCTCTGGCAAAACTTGAATTCAAAACCAACTATTGAGTTATTGAGACAAAAAGAGGTTCCGATTAATTTCCACGAAATTTCTATTGAAAATAAAGTCCACGACTTCAAAAAAAGAGGATGAGAGCAAGCAAATTTTTGAGCCAGACTAAAAAGAGACAGTCAGAGACGAGACACAACACAGGTGTTAAGCAAATCGTAAAAGTGAGCATGGGGGGGGGGGGGGTTGCGTGTGATGTTTGTGGAAATGATAGGCACAGATTGCAGCAGAAATTGAACGAAAAAAACGGCAAAAAAAGGAGGAGCCGGTGCACAATCGTCTTCTCAATGCTTGTCTAAAATCATTGTTTTCTTTTGAATAGAAAAGTGGAGAAATGAAACAGCAACATTAGTCACCGTATCATCATTGCGTCTTTTTTTTCCTTTTTTGTATTCAATCTCAGAATCAGAAAAAGAATCAGCTTCATCCTGAAGGAAAAAAAAACTAAACGAAAAAAGGAACAGTTGCGGCGTATGCTGGAAAAGGGGGGAGGAAGCCAAGGGGAAACAATAGAACCGCTTTATTGGCGCATGCATTCATAATAGCTCAAATTATATATTGGAAATGCTTTCTCTTTTTTTTCTTCTCTTACAAGGCGAAATGAATGTTTACTTACTCTAAACAAAAGTCAAAAAATTGGGAAAACATTAACAATTGGAAAAAATATAAATCAATAGTCATTTAAAATTTAAAAAATATTGTTGTTTGAAACATACTGTATTTCCTTTAATAAAAATCAACTCAAACCGTCATCCTCAAGGTCAATTATATCGGTTTTTCTAGAAGATATCACAAAGTTGTCAACAGAACAAATATTGGTGATATTATGATAAAGACCTTATCAGTTAACAAGTTCTTGATAACTGTCTCAGAAATCGAGATAAATGGGCACAAAGATAGAAGTTAGAGGGCCCTTCTATTTTCAGCTTTTAGGGTATTGTTTCCTGAAACATACTGTACTTCCTTTAATAGAAACCAGCCCAAAACGTCATCTTTAAGGTCAATTATCTCGGTTCATCTAAAAAGTATCATAAAGTTATCAACAGATCAAATATTGGTGATATTATGATAAAGAATTTATCTGTTAACATAATCTTGATATCTGTCACTTCTACTGGAAAAATACGGTATTTGAAAAAATAAAAATTTTAAATCAAGGATTGTAAAAGATTCAGCTCAAGACAAAATTATTATAAAATTTGATCAAACTAAACATCCAAAAAAATATATTCTCAATTTTTGGCTACCGAAAATTTGAAACGGCCGGTACAGGTACACGTAGAACCGTTTCCAACTACTAAACAAGTCAAAAATAGATGAAAAAAGGATGTCAACAAATGCGTCGTCAGAAAAAAAGAAGATCAGATCAGAACATTGATCTGGAGTGATCTAAATGGAGGAGACAACAAACTAGTTTTAATTTCTCTTAAAGGTATTTCTATCTGATGAAGAAAAATTAGAAAAAATTAGAGAAAGACACGATGTCTGACCTTTTGATATGAGAGACAACACGAAAAATTGGCAACTATCTCGATTTCCACTACTGTGATCTAGGTGAAAAATGGGTTCACTTACTTCTCGAAGCGTCCATCGCCATTGTCACAATACTAGCGAAAGTGCGTGTGGTGGTGGGAACCACTCGGTTTGGGCGTGAATTACAACAAAGCGAGAAACACATATTTATCAATACTGGTCCTGGCTCATGATTTCGTGTGATGCAACCATCAATTTTTGGAAGAGACGAGTAGACAAAAAATAAACTATGGGTCTCTTATTCGACGAGTCAATCCCATTTCTACTTTTGTAATAGGTTTCCTTTGTGCGCTACTATTATTATAAATTGGTGGGTACACGACGATCCGGTTTTTCATTTTTTTTTTCTCCGTTCAAGAAGACGAAAAATAAATTTTTTCCAAAAGCAAAGAAAGATCAATTTTTGGGCAATACGTAGCGATACAGACTAATGAAAGGTTTCAAAATTTAGAGTCCAACGCTAGAGAATCAAAAGATTAGCTGAAATTTGAAATAATTTAATCTTTCTGGACTTTGAAGGGAGAAGGAAATGCAACCAAAAAATCCAAAGCGAATGAATTAAACGTAGGTGGTCTAATGCATAAAATAAAAGGGGCCCACCGGATTTCCGCCTACATTAGCAACGTGTCTGACCACATCACTTCTGAAGAGACGTTTTCAATGAATATATAACATTCTAGGCAGCAAGGAATTGTTCAGAAAAGTCACATTCAGAAAAAAGAGAATTCTCGAAAGAGAAAAATTGAATGTAGAATAGTAGCTCATCTAATTTTGAGTGATGCTTTTTCAGTTCAATGTCCTTGTGTCACAAGGCAGCCATAAAAAATCCGAGAGAGGAGAGAAGAGCAGAATCTCGGAAGATTGAGCCAATTTTCGACGAAACGAAACGAGATGAGAGAAGACGACTAGAAACTTCATTTCTTTCACAAGTATGAAATTGGACAAAAAAATAGAGGCTGCGAACAAAATGACTCTAATCCAAAAATGTAAAAATGTGTTTTAGTAGGCTTACGGAAAGCGAGAAAAAGATTGATTCGAAAATACTAAATTATTGATGACCACAATTACATGAAGAGCTTCTGATCAGCAGTGAAAAGAGGATTGTGTTCTGTATGAACATATTTTTAAAAGGATTCTCCATTTTTCTATTTTAGGAACGCACGATTTAAAATATCTGTTGTTATTAGTCTAGTCCCCATAATCTACAACTTTAAGCTGATTTATCTCGAATCCTTCGCAATATATCAAAAAGTGTTCAACTGGAAAAAATGTTTTTGATGTTAAAATAAACATTTTGACAGTTGACCACTTTTTGATAACTTTTACAGAAAATGAGATACCGTAAACACTCTAATAGAACGCCATTCGGACCGTCCACTTCGAGCCGATAGATCTCATTTTTTTCAAAAGATATTAAAAAGTTGTCAACTAATAAAATGTTTATCATAATATCAGCAACATTTTATTAGTTAATCACTTTTTGATATCTCTCACAGAAAATGAGATACATGGGCTCAAATTTGATGATTTGGGTGGCGTTCTAATAGAGTGTTTACGGTATGTGGGCTTGGAGTTGACGATTTACGGGACGTTATATTATTGTGTAAGCTCAAAAATATAATTTTTCTAATGAATTTTCGAACACAAAGGATAAGAAACCGAGTATTTCAAAGTATTTAAAAACAAATTTTCAATAATGGTGTGCATTTGGCACAGTGAAAAAATAGCGCATTTTACTTATCTGACAAAAATAGGTATTACAATTCAAGGAAAGCTAAAAAACCGAAAAGTAAAAAAGTAAAAACTTCAACTTCATCTGTTTACCAACTTTTTGAAAAAGGCTGCAATTTGATTTAGAACTGACATTCTATAAGAGAAGGAAGAGGAGGAAGCAAAGTGTCGGCTGCGAGAAAACCGGACGAACCGAAAGGAGAAGAAGAAAAAAGTGAGTTCTCCTTCACTCGAACACAATAACTACTAGAATTACACAAATTTTCAGCTTCCCGCCTTCTCCCCTGTGCGCCTCTTTCCATTCTTTTCCAACAAGTAGTATTTTAGTTTGTTTTCGCGGTTTTCTTTTTTTTTTTCTCAAACTGCTAGTTCTGAAAATGGTAAATCTACTGGGATCGTCCGTTTGGAAACAGTAAACAGTGTTAGAGACAAATTCCATGTACCCACAGATTCTTTGAATTGTTGACCAGACTATAATCAGTTTCTGCTTTTTTTCCTCCGTCTCAATTTTCAGATCAAATTACCTCAGAGAATGCTCAAAGATAACACATTTGTTCCATTAAATTCTACACATCACACTTCAGTTCAAACTACTCATTTTAGATTTTTTTGTCATCAACATAAAATTTGAAGTTCACGTTCCCAGTGTTCCACCTGATCCCCCTGAGCCAGTAAAACAGTCAAAAACTCACACAGTTGTGTGCCAAGTCCGTCACCAATAGCAGCAGACATCAACGGCGCCGATGCAAGGACCGCCGAAGGCACCGACGTTTTCCGGCTTCCATTTGATGCTGAAATGTGATATTTTGACACTTGGGGCTTTTCAAAAAACAAATAATGGCATGGGGAGGGCAATAAAGCAAAAATTGTCTGAAATTCGTTTTTGAAAGTATAAGGAAATGTAGGACAAGAGGTTTTTTTTGGATTACTGTATATCTAGTTTAGGAGACTACAGAGAAATAACCCTTTATTAGAGAAAAAGTGGTTCTGAAAGTGCAACAATACAAATGCTCTTTTTTTTACAAAATATAATTTTAATATTCTTATCTACAGTATTCTAGAAAAAATCAGATTATGAATTTTTCTGTGGAAGATAGTCAACCTTAGAATCCTGAAAAAAGTATTCCAGAATTTTTCGAACTTCCTGAAATTCAGAGTATACTAAACAGAGTCAGATCTTCATTTTCATTAATCTTAGAATTTTGGGTGCTTTTTGGTTATGAAGAGCATATATAATCAGAAAGGAAACTGGAAAAGAAATTGTCAATTATGAAAATGAAGTTCTACTTCTTTTTATTAAAACCTGGAATTTTCAAAGCCGTGGGAATATTCCGAAATTGACCATGTTAACTGATAAGGTTCAAATTTCACTGAATAAGTTCAAAATTTTATAATTCCAAATGTTCGCGGGAGTCAAAATCAAGTTACTGTAACCTGATGTAATAAGCTGGTGTAGCTACAGTAACCTGATACCAAACTCACTTGTTGAACTGTTGCTGAAGAGCCGGACGACGGAACGGTGTTCGAAACTCATTCTTGAATCATCAGACTGAAAATAATACGACATTTTGAAAATTGTGAGATGGAAATTCATCAAAAATGTGTCTCCCCCCGGAGTCTGAAATAGAATGTGAGAGTTTCGGGAAGAGAGGAAAATTGCGCGCGCTAAAAAATTGTAACACTCTTTCCAAGCTCATTGTGAGAATTGGAAATAATGAGAGATCAGGGTAATCAGCACTCACTCTATCCATTATTATTGGCTTCGTCAGAAATGAATAAGTCCAGTGAGCCGCCTACTCAAAATAGCAGGAATGCACAAAGTAGGACGATTCCGACTTTAGGCTGAAGTGAAAATGCGCACTTTCTCGTTTTATGTCCTTTTTTTTGAAATTGGATTTCAGGATTTCTCTAAATTCCCGAAAGTGAGGGGACTTTTTGTCCTAACTACTTTTTGACACCCACTTGCTGCTCTCTACAGGAGCACAATGGCTGAAGGTCAGGCGGGTAAGCTCAAGTGACACGCAAAATGGGAATTCAATTTCGTTGTCATTTTTTTTTCTGAGGTGAAGTTGCTTCTGTGTCCTATTTTTTATTTTGCAGAATTTTTGTAAACCTTTCAGCTACAAAACATTCGCTACAAAACACATCACGAAAACTTTATAACCTCAGCACTCTGTCCTGCTTGGACTCGGTTCACGTGAAGTTTCACACCTTCAAAATGTGTCAAGCTCATAAATAAAAGAGTTTGTAGCGACTGGACTGAGTGTGCTGATAAGTTAAGGCTTTGGGGGGAGAGAAAAAAAAAAGATGGGAGATAACGGTATTAAAGAGACCGAGACTATGAAAGAGCGGAGGCTTTATTCGGGAAGAACACAACTTTTTGCGTGTTGTCAAAATCTGTTTATCAGCAGAAATGATGTGATTTTATGATTATAGTTCGCTCATCTTCTGTGAGGAGAGTAGTGGAATCAACTATTGTCAACTTCTGATAAGTTAAACAATTGTGATGAAATCACATTTAAAATTTGATAGTGCTTAGCAGGAACACACCATAATATCTGGAAAAATGAATGAAGTGCTAGTCTGAATCTCCCATTAGAGCCTAAGGCTTCTAGGAATACGGATAGCCTCATTATGATATGGCACTAAATTCGGAATCTTTAAAAGTTCTAATGATCTTTCTTTAAAGGATCAATTTTGAAAAAATCCTCAAAGACGAAGCCTAATATCCTCGCAAAAAAATGTGGTTTTGCAGACTTTGCAGCACGAATGAAACTACGTTTTTTCTTAAGTGCAAAACGGGAATGAGAAACGCTTTCTCAAGAGGGTTCACTCTTTTTTCTATTCTCACTTGACATTTAATCGGACGATTATTTTTCAGTTTTTCTATTTCTATTCTGTTCCAAAAAAAGAATATTATCACAACGTTTCGAAAATGAGATAGATAGGTAAAAGATCATTTCTATGATTTCTCAAATGCACCCAGAATGCTGAAATGTGAGATTCTACAAAAAAATGGGATGGGTAGAAAAACTGAAGAAAAAAGAGGAAGAAGCTTTGTTAATTGTCACTTTTGACATAAACTCGATTCTACTCCTCACACAGTTACACACTCACAAAACGATGAGATGATAATGATGATAAGTGTTATCGAATTAAAAATTTGTTGCCGACTGTTTATTTGCTTTCACGACACTCTATCTAGACGGACGGTCTGCACAGATTTGGATGACCGGGGTTTTATAACTGCTGGAAAATATGAATTTTACGACTTCCGAAAGAAATTAAAGGTATTCTAGATCAAAAACCAGTTAGGTCACTGATTCTGAAGTTTTGCTGAAAAATAATCTGAAGTATTGTCCTAGTTTGCTCCAAATCCCAAAAAAGACAGATGGGTACTGTGGTTCTATTCTGAGAATTCAAAAAATTCTTTTTAATAAATGACTCGCTAACATACCATTAACACTCTAATAGAACGCCACCCGAACCGTTAAATTTGAGCCCATGTATCGCATTTTCTGTAAGATATATCAAAAAGTAAGCAACTTATAAAATGTTTATCATGATATCAGCAACATTTTATCAGTTGACAACTTTTTGATATCTTTCAAAAGAGGTGAGATATATAGGCTCAAAGAGGACGGTCCCGGTGGCGTTCTATTAAAGTGTTTACGGTATTCTGAGAAAACAATTTGAAATTTAGAAAATTAAAGCTGAGATGATTAGGTTATCACAATTCAAAAGAATTCGCCTACTTTGAATTTTTTGCTTCAAGTTTCAAAAAATTGAAATTTGGAAAATCATTTTAACATTTTCCTCAAAACTCAAAACTCAAAACTTGAAAATCTTATTGACAAAATTTGAAAAAATAACGTTTCGTCCTGTTTGTCATTTTCAAAAATATGACGTTACTGAATATGGAGCGACATCAGAATTTCAGAAATCAACAAAGTAATTATAAAATAATTGTCAAACTGAACAAGTGGCTCCAAAATGATCATTACGTAAAACAACAAATGAATATGAGGAGAACCCAAAGAAAACATCTTTTGGTAATCCGCCTATATTGATAGCAAGTCGCAAATAAACAACAATAAATGAAGAGTCAAGGGCGCCCAGATGAAGCAAAAAGAAGAGCTAGTTACAAAGTGTATTATTCTAGAAGACATGCGCGCATCAATTGGTTCCAGTAAAACAGATGGAAGACGGAAAAGAAGAAACTCTACATCACGCAAGATTGGCTCAAGATCTGACTCTTCGGATAAGAGAAGAGGCTCTAGAAAATTTGATAGACAGCTCTCAATGTGCCGCGCGCGGAACCAGAGTGTGTTCGCTAGAGCTGAAAACTGGTAGGATTAGCTATGATTTGATGAGTGTTCAGTTTTTTTTTCTTTTGAAAGTAAATCTTCTTGGGCCGATTTTGTGAATATAGATAGATGAGCAAGTTTTAATGTTTCACTGTCATGGTTACAAAAAACGGGACCGACAAATGTTTTTATGTCCGAATATTCTTTTGAGAGCAAAACTAGAAATATTCCAAGAACATTTTTCCAAGAAAAAAGGAAAAAATAGTTTTTGAGAAATTCAAAGAAAACGAGACACATGCTCATTTGAGAAAATGAGAGGGGATGGCTGGCGCCCCATACTCATAGTTCAAATCACTAAGACACTTGTCCCATTTCCTCATTTTCTTATTCTCCATCCAAAACGAGCCTCAATCTTTTTTTCTGTGTTGCTTCGTTTTTTCCTTCTCCTTCTTTTTCTTCTTCTTCTTCAGCATTTTTCTTAACCCAGCCCATTTTTTTCTGACCAAAAAGGCCGTTTTCGTCTTTAATTCGGTTGCGACATGCATGGGTTAAACAAGCATGGCCAAAATGGGAGGAGAAAAGAGGACTGAAATCAAATTTTCGGTGCCCGTGGCGCCGACAAAAGAGTCTTGCGGGGATAAGGAAAAAATGTAGACAGGAGAAGAGGGTGTGCCGCAAAACCTATTACGAGCTTTTTAAGACATCACTTCAGGATCCTACGTTTTTTTTTTCAAAGAAGGTAAGATGGAGAGAATAGATGCAAATAGATCAAAAAAGGCGGTCGCAATGCTGGCTTGTTAGTTTTTGGATAACTTTGCGACCGATTGAAACAAAATAGTTTAGGATAATCTGCTCCATTTTTCAGAGACAATTATATGCCATAAAGTCCCCCGGTAATTAAAAACCGGACCGCTCTAAACTTGACCTGTAGCTGTTTTTTAAGCCAAGACCCGTAATTCTACCATAGCTTTTTGTTGATCCATATGTTTGCGCCTGTGGAAATCTATGGTTCGGCTTGTTATGGTGGAATTTTATAATTCCTCGATATGCTATAGAAATTAGAAAGAACAAAACTTAGAAGGTTGGGTCAATTCAATAAATTTTCAGGTATTAGTTTGAAAAATCAAAATTTGTAATACAAATATGACAGTACTGATTAGAAACCCACAGCAGAACAGAACTTCGAAAATCAATCAGGTAAAGTACTACCAATATTCTGATTTTTTGAAACTCTGTGGGTGGCTGGCTTGTTAGAGCCAAATTAGATAGATCGACGAAAATAAATTTTTTTTCAGGAACGGAAACAATTTGCGAATTCTAAATCACACGAAACTCTACAGTATACCTTTTTGAATCTGAAACTTCGCTTCAAACTCATTGTCGTCTTCCTCAAGCTATTGGTGATTCCCTCCACCCGGGACACTCCTGGCGGAAGAGAGGATGGTGAATCCGGTGTTGGTGCTGTTGGTGGATCCATTGCAAAACCGAAAGCAGGAGAAAAATGTTAGTAAGATTGCATGTGATGACGACGCAACGGGAAAAGGAGGAATAAGGGTAAAGTGAGTAGGTTGCCCAGGGACTCGGAATCGGGAATAAGGGGTGTGAGAACTTTTTTTTTCTGATATGAAGCGAGAGACGGAAAGAGCACGAGATTTGCTTCCATTCAGAACCAAACGTTTGGCTTTTGGTGTATTGATGGAGTAGGAAAAAGGGCGAAAGTGGCAAAAACTTGACACTTTTTTTTCTGAAAATTACGAGAAATAGAGATATGAAAAAAAGTGGGGAAGTAATGACGACTCGTTGTGAATTCAGCAATTCAGCCATTTATTGAAGAGAAATAATTTGAGATAGTGAGTGTCGAGAAGACACACATACATAAGTGAATAAGATTGGGCGTTGGAATAATGTCTCATAATAGTGGATAAATGAAAAAAGAGACGGGCGAGAAGGAATTGTTTCTCCCGGTTTCTCTTTCCATTGTTTGAGAGTATTATCTAATCCAATAATGAGATCAGATCAAGAACTGCTCAAAAGAGCAAGCCAGGGATTAGTGCAAAAATAGAACTTGTCAAGGAAAGTGACACTTCCAGAAAAAAAACGAAACTTTTCCCGAAAAAAAGGGGGGGGGGAAGGTCACGTGGGAGAAACAATAGAAGTGAAGAATATTCGTTGAATATTCATACTTCTTTTATTTGTTTTTTGTGAGAAGGACAAGAAGTCAAGTTCTTCATGTATACTACGACAAGTTTCGAGTAAAAAT